TAACCTCAACCTTTCAGATTACCAGAAACGAAATGGAATGACAACAGCATCAAATTGAATGGCAAACAACTTCAGTACAACGCCGTTCGCCCCATTAGACGGATTTACCGATATTAGGACGAATCAGAAAGCTACAAATTTGAATTATACTGCACCTTGAATGAGATCCATTGGTGGATTTCTGAAATTGTGAGTTGAGATCGACGATGTTCGGGGACGAAATTAAAGTATCCCACTATCGCTATAGGGAATTTGTGTGATATAAGTGTTGAAATAGCTGGGAAACCAATGTTATACCATAGAGAAAGGAAAAACAAAACAGTCACTGCACCCATGGACCTTATTCTCGAGGAAGCCATATTTGTCGTGTTCCCTGAATGTATTTTGCAAATTGTGAACGGTTGAATGAGATAGTGCCAGACTTTTTAAACATTCTAGCCTCATTTTCATTCCTTTTAAAAAGGTGGTTTAAAACATTAGGGTATGTTTAATCACAAATTTTAAATAAATTCATCAGAGCAGACTGGTATTAATTTGCAACATACTTTTTAAGTCATTGCTTTCATTTCTCTTCGTGAGTTCCAAAAGTGAAGACTTTGCTTCGATTTTCATTTAATATGGCCGACTCGTGAATAAAGCCCAGGCTGACCACACCTAGGCTCAGCTGGGTACAAGTTTGATTGTTTTAGTCCAATTTAACTAGAGTGTTGGTATACGAGCCAATTAAGGGTGGATCCAAAACACAATTTTGGGGACCAACAAAAAAATTTGTTCCCCCAAAAAGTGGGTCGAAAAATGACGGCGTAGGGTTCGGGGCCCCGAATTTTTTTTCGGATTCTTCATGTAAATGCTCTGTGGTGCGATCTGAGGCAATTTCTGACCACTTTGACCAATTTTTTTGGAGGAAAAGATGGTGTACGCAGTGCCTGCATTTATGGCGACGTCATTAAAAAAAAAATAGTTCTTCTTTTTTTTTGGGGGGGGGGGGGCAAGGCCCCCATTCCCCCCCCCCCCCCCGGATCCGCCCTTGGTACGAACCAACTGATACACCTCTGATATTATCCCTTTCAATAGTCATGCATTTCTAATAAGAAGTGTATACGCGTGAAACAGAGCGCTATTTTGGGGGTTCTAATTGCAACGTTCGGGGATCCGATTCCGTTCAGATCACTTAATCGGCGAGTAAACCTACACGCGATGATTCACGGACTATCTGGTTCATCATCGGTGGATGGGGCGAAAGTGGAGAAAAACTCATTCCTTCGCAATGTTTCACGCATCGATCGTTGGCCCATCTCTTATTCACACTCGTGATTGAATAAACTTCGCAGGTATATCCACTTTCCGGGCAAGTCGGATTACGGGGGCTGTTGGCATATTTTAGCCCAAATATTTCTCCGACCTCCCAATAAGTTGCCAATATTTTTGATATTTTGCAGTCGTAAATGTTCTTTTCTTTGGTGATTCGTTGTTGTGTCAGTACATGGCAGTAACCCAATCAGAAAAAAAAACATTCTCACAGATGTTTTTATATGAGCAATTTGTTAAGGTTCACAATTTGAACCAAAAAACCCTAAGCTAAACAGTAAGTTACTGAAATGACATCACAGCAACAGCGCGCTCAGTTGTCCGGAAAAGCATTGGCAATTTTCAATGAAAGAAAATAAACCAAAAAGGAATGTCAAATAGTTTTATACATTTAAGAGGACTAGAAAGTTGCACAAAATATGTTCCTAAGAAAAATTCATGTCATGGACCCTTGAATAAATGCTCTTGGCCTGTTGGGAGTCGATAGGCAATAAAATAGTTGTAGAATTAGAATTTCGTGCGCTCTGGATTACCTTGTTAGGCTTACCTTGTTTTGTTATAGGGCCTACAAGTTGTACGCCCTATTATAACAAGACAAGGTAATCATGCCCCAGAGCACACGAAATTCTAATTGATTCGGAATGACTATTCCGATGTCTTTTCATGCATATGGTGTACACAGTGAGCCAGATATGGCCCATTGCATTGTGAGGTAATCCTATACAATGGCACTGCCCGGTTCTCCTCACCAGCCAACAACCAGGCTAAGCCGCTAGTAGTACCGTTCAATCATGTATACATGCAAAAAGGTCTACACATTATGGGAACCCTCTCTATATCTCAAATTAGGTTTTGCCCTTCACCGACGTTTAAACACTCTATACTCAGTGTGTTACCTCCCGAATGAAAGTTGGGGGAAAAAATATCTATATCTATAGAACCAGCCAAAAGGAAGGAATATTTTGTACATGAAATTATTGGAACGCGTCGAGGCTCATGTAAATGTATACAATATGGTCACCCCCCCCCCCCAAGTGTCCGTCTGACTATTTCTGAAATAACTACAAAACTATGGAGTCAATTCTAAAAATACTTGATTGTGTAGGTACTCATTATCCTTGGCCTAAACCCCTATGAGTTTCATTAAATTTCAGTCATGCATCACTACACAATTGTCAACATGTTTGGACACTGTGACCAAGTTCCTTGCCTTAATCAATTTCAGTGCTGCGTTATGTATCTGCGTAAAATCCTGCATGATGTGAAAATTCCTGCGGTTGGGATTGGAATCATCTGCCTGGCTATCAGTCATCATGGCAAGACCTCAGTTTAATGCTCAAGGGCTAAGGATTCCAATCCCAAACCACATCAGCCTTTTTTTTTCAAAACTCAAGCTTCGAAACTCAAGCTTGTATATTTAATGAAAACATCGATGATACTCGGAACATCGTGAGTGAAACGATACAAAAAATAATCTTGGCATTTGTGAAATTAGTAAAATTGCTTTCGCGAACCTTAATGATATACGTGTATACATTGCGTTATTATGAGCCCAGTGGTGATGGGTGCTGAATGTCGATAACCGCGCACGCATGTATTATATATCCACCTGAATGATTGGACAGAACAGGTGGCGGTATCCAATTAGACAAGAAAACACCTGATGACACAAGATACCAAAAATACCCTCGGTGTGACAACATGATGACGGCCAAGTTCAAACCCTCTAAGGGTGCAACCAGGTACATAAATCCCCATGATAAATCCACATACTTCAAAATTCTTTTAAAAAATACTCAGAACTCTCACAGGTGTTCAGGCTGCACAGAAAAAAAAAATGATGATCGACATGTCGTCTTTCACTTTCCTTTCAATTTTTGGTGGGTTGACCAATGACTTTTTGGAGAAATTCTCACCCAAAGACGACCACCCCTAACACGAATTATACATGTATTTCCCAAAGTGGAAAAGTAGCCCTTTTGAAAAAAAAGATCCTTCCACAACATGGCTAAATAGCACCACTTTCGGACCCAATTGCATCCGAAATGCTCGGAATTGGATGCCCCAGGTCCAGGCCAGAGGTGCAGTGCCAAATGTCTTCAATCCCCCAATGCCATGGCTCTCATTACTAATAATTTGAATGTTTAACAATTATTCACGAGCTTGGCGGACGGAGTTTGGGTCTATTTACTCGGTTGCACTCTCAAACCACATGTTTGGGCTGTTTGGTTCGATATTGAGCTCATTAAAAAAATGAAGGATTTCATGAGCAAACCTAAAAATGAGCTGTCCAGGTACCTAATCCTGCTTGTCACAGCATTGGTTGGAAAGCAAACACCGCCGAATGCTATTGGTCCTTTTACTTCTGCCTTACCCTATTATGAGCTCTCATTGGATAGATCTTATTCTATCGGTGACCCGTGATCAGCATTTCCGCGTGCGCACGACCAGCGGAATGCATAGTCGCAATGATGATATGGCTGCTTGGTAGTATTAAGTTTCCTACGATGCTTTACGACGTATACGTTTCCGTCAAAAAAAATATGTTTGATGATGACAGTTTGTCGATAGATTGTCTGGAAGTGTATGCGGAAAATCCAAGTGTAGGGTATTGATGGTCAGTTTCCACTTTCTGCACCGGTGAATTTGTAGTACTAAGGCTTTGTGACGATTTATTATCTTGCCAGTAATGAAAGCACGCACAGCGCCGTGGGGAATCGTCAGGGAAAAGTAGGGGTTTTCGGCACACTAAAGGCCTTACTCGTATGTCTCCAACACTCCCACATCAATTTGTCAGAATCAAATATTGTATATACATGCAATATTAAGCCTACATCGCAGTCCGCTTGCAGCGTACGCATGCATCCCCTTTCCCTCAGCATACCTAGGCTCGTGTTGTATTACCTACAAGGAAAACTGATCTCAATTTTGTAGGCTTTGCTTCAAGCCATTGTTTATATTGTACAACAAAAGACATTACCCACGCAACACCATAGGACAATGGCAACGGCTACGTAAAAAAGTTCCAAACGTAGACCCTGTGAGGCTGGCGGCGCCGAAAGCCCCCGAGATGCGTGGCGGGATGGGTAAACATTTCGCGATCAACAAGGTTAAAATTACACATTCCGGAAGAAAATTTGCGATCTAGAATTTTCGAGCTGGGAGCCAATGTACAACTCGGACTTCCTTAAAAATTGTACACACCGTGACATTTCATTTAATACCTTTACTGACTATGCAACGGTTGACGTTGCATAGTCAGTGCTCAGCCAGGCATGCTAGACTATTGAAAGTTGCGTCAACAAAACATGCCTCACTGCGGCAAACATTATTGTCAGAAACCGCTTGGGTAGGCCATTTTTTTTAGTATTGTTATCAGCATTTCCTCATTCAAAAGAAGGGGAAAAACGGGGAACTTCACCTAGTTGGAAATGGCTTTCAAAACTATAGATTGCTCCCGTACCGTACAAATAAAATATTTGTGGTTTGGTTAGGTGGGAGACCGGTTGCTTCAGTGCCTATTGCGTCGAGTTCACTTGTACCACAGACTTGATCGACATCTCCTTCATCGAGCCGTTGCGGGATTTTAGAGGGAGGATAATTTTTCCCCGGACACGCACGGAACGATTGATTCGCTGGGCAGAGTTAATCGCCGTGAATTATAGAGACGTATCACCGGTGATCATATACAATGTACAGTCGGGAAGACCGGCGCGCATAGAGGAGCACGGGCCGACCCTCGATAGAGGTTGTCACCGCCTCGGCTGATTAACCGCTCGAACATTGCCGAAGAAAGACCACAATTTTACATGCACGCGTCGCAAATTGGAACGGGGAGGCTGTCCGTGTAGTCCCTCAACTTCAGACGGTTTGTGATCTGTTTGCATCGGGGCCTTCGGAAAATACGAAAGATTTCAACTTGTTCAAGATCCAAAATTTCATAATGGTAAGTACATCGTAGCCTATCCAAATTCTTTTGTCTGGTCATGTTTTTCAGGGTTTGCTCATCTTTTTTTGCAGAATTATCGCCGAGTTTACATGACAATTCAGTAAGATTTTGTCGTTATGCAGTCAATAGGCCCTATAACTTGTACTGCATAGTAGGCCCCTTATTGTGTATTGTGACGCAGCTATGGTTGTACCCATTTTATTCTTTAAGGGGGTCAGGTTAGCGCGTATACAGGTGTACTGTACTTTCCTAACCCGTGCCGCTATAGCTACAATTCGCTCGCCATCGCATTGCATCATTGATGGCCGCAAATCTGAGCCATATTCGCTCCAACTTTGAAATCATTAGCTCCGTGAATGGCAATGCACTAGGGTGGATCCAGGGGAGGGGCAATGGGGGCCATGCTCCCTCTCCAAAAGAAAACCAACCCAATTTTTTTTTTAAGTGACGTCGCAATAAAGGCAGGCACTGCGTACAGGCATCTTTTCCATCATATCCTAAAAAAACATTGGTCAAAGTCGTAAAAAAAATTGCCTCAGATCGCACCACAGAGTATCTAGAATCCAAACAATTTTCGGGGCCCTTAAGCGGGCCCCGAACCCCACGCCGTAATTTTTGGACCCACTTTTGGGGGTACCAAAATTGTTTTGGCAACCCCCAAAAATTGTGTTCTGGATCCGCCCTTGGCAGTGCAGCACTTAAGTATACGACTGACTTGATCTTGAATTTATTTTCGTTTCCTCAAAAGAGGAATACACTCTAAAAACTCCAGGGCGAGATTGACCGAGAATCCGAATCCAAATTCGCTCAGTCCTTTTCCGGGTCAAAAATGATCCCTTTTGGGAGTCAAAAACGACATTTTTTTTATCATTTTGACCTAGGAAAGAGTTATTTTTGACCCGGAAAAGGACTGAGCCAATTTGGATTCAGATTCCGGGTCAATCTGACCCAGGACTGTTTAGAGTGTAGCTGGAGGTTGGGGTGGTAACTGTTCCAAACGTAAATGTAATACTGCTTTCCGTAGTCAGTGTGAACAGTCGAAGCAGATCCGTTAAAGCAATGTACAGGGTGAGTAAAAAAAAAACGAAACCCAAACGTTGGGACCATTGTTTTAGTGAAGTTCTGTATGTAGCACTTTCAAAATCTAGGATATGAAAGCCCAATTCATAAGCTTTCTTTTAGTACAAGAATCATTCAAATCACTCCTGTGCTTTTCAAATTACGAAATTTTAAACACAACCACGCGTAGATCACAAATCAAGTTCAGTGTTCTTTCAGGAAAACGAAAATAAATCATATAGGGATGTGTGTGAATTAATTGTTTTCGTTTTGCTGAAAGAACACACACCTTTATGTGTGATCCGTGGACAGACCTTTAAAACTGTGGTTGTGTTTAAAAACTCCGTAACTTGAAAAGTACACGAGTGAGTTGAATGATTTTTGTACTAAAAGAAAGGTTATGAATTGGGTTTCCATGTCCTAGATTTTGAAAGTGCTACATGCAGAACTTCACTAAAACAATGGTCCCAATATTTGGGTTTCGGGGTTTTTTTTACTCGCCCTGTATATATGTACTCTAACTCACAGAAAAGACAAAACGGCAACAGCGGTTGCCTATACAGGGTGAGTAAAAAAAAAACACGAAACCCAAATGGCAGGACCAAATTTTGAATGAAGTTTTGCCTGTAACACTTTCAAATCTAGGTTATGAAAGCCCAATCATCAATGAGCTTTCTTTTAGTACAACATTCATTCAAATCACTCCTGCACTTTTCAAGTTACGGAATTTAGAACACAAACACCATTTTAAAGTTCTGTCCACGGATCACAAAAAAGGTAAGTGTTCTTTCAGCAAAACGAAAACAATTCACATGCATCCCTATGTGATTTGTTTTCTTTTTTTGTGATCCGTGGACAGAACTTTAAAACGGTGTTTGTGTTCAAAATTCCGTAACTTGAAAAGTACATGATTGATTTGAATGATTCTTGTACTAAAAGAAAGCTCAATGACCGGGATTTCATATCCTAGATTTTGAAAGTGCTTCAGGCAAAACTACATTCAAAATTGGTACTGCGAATTGGCTTTCGTTTTGGGGTTTTTTTTCAATCACCGTGTATAGTAGGAAATGGCTTTGAACTCTTGCAGTGCATCCCAGTCTGTATAGCAGAGACGTACTGAATGCCATGGGCGTCGCAGGGGGGGGGGGCAAGGGGGCGCTTGGGGGAAGGGGGGAAAAGGGAAAAAGAGGTGCAAAGCCATATTGCTGTTAATTGGATGGGGGGTAGGGCAAATGTTCTCCTGCACGCTCGGAAAATGATGAATTGAGAATATGTTAAAAAGTTAAGAAATTTTGGCAACAAAATGTGCTTTGCCAACCCCCCCCCCCCCCGAAAAAAATTCTTGCGACGCCCACGCTGAATGCTTTAACTCTTTTTATTGCATGTTTTAATGCATGTTTTGGAGACACTCTGCAGTAATATCAAGTCATTAGTTTGCATGGAGAAAGGTAATACTTTAAATGTGTAATATTAATCATTTCGTCAAGGCTGTCAAAATGGAGTCCCACCCTTGACTCGGTTCTCACGTGAAAAGAACCAAAGACAGAATTGAAGTCCGGTCCGTCACAAAACCACGGCTCAGGCCACAGGTATAACAAGGGCTGAATTAGCTGACAAAAGTTGTCATCACTTGACTTTCAACTAGACGATTGGCTTGTGAGTGACTTGTGCATGCCGAGCTTGACTACAACTCTCTGCTTGAAACTCTAGATGGATTTTTGTTTAAGCCACCAAGAACCTCACAAATTAACACGAAGGTCCTTTAAGTTTAATCGTGTCTCCCATCAGATTTAATTAATAAGAATTGTGTTTAAACTTGGGAATAGTCCGAAGAGGCTTAAACTACTTCTTTTACATGAAAATCGCAGCTTTGCTTTCTGGTTTCAACTCCGAGCATCATTTTTTACTATTGGTGAATATCTACCGGCCTGTCACGATTGCTGTTTGTTTTTTTGCCGGCATCGATTCTCGTTATCTTTCACTTGTACAGATTCACAAATCATTTTGATCATTCGTGACTCGGCAAGAGAATTCGCGGGCCGAGCGCCACGCACGGAGTGTAGTGTGTCGTTACGTTACCTTCCTCTTTCCGCAATTGGTTTTTTTTGGGGGGGGGGACCGACATTATCGGTTGAGAACAGGGCCGTTTAGTTCCCCCGCTATGCCCGCGGGAGGTGAAAGCAGGGAAACGCCGGGACAAAAGTGGGCCTGGCCCTTGCATGCCGCCACGCTGCGGTGTTCATTATGAATGTAGACCGTCCTGCTAGCACCGGAGGGGATACTAGGTGCTTCATGTGAAGTCTTGTCTGCACCTGTACGGCGTAACACTCTCATAAAACAGGCGGCGATTTCAAACTGTTTTGAAACTGTTTTTAACTGTTTCAAAACGCCAAGGCAGTGTTTCCCATGCCCATTTAAACGTGAGGTGGCCTACCTCGCTACTTTCAGTGACCACCTCGCTCAATTTTTGCCAATATCACCACCTCGCTGTGAAGATTTGCAATAAAGGAAATACTAATTGAAAAATTTTCATTTTGTGTAATTTATGAGCGTTTTCCTTGACCTCTATGTATCAAAAACTCACAATTTGGATGTGTAAATGGAATCAACTCGCATTTTTGTAAGGGCAGCATCCTTTTGAGTTCGCAAACCGCGTCAATTTTGTTTCAATCATCAACTTGAATTTTTACCACCTCGCTCATTTCATTAGCCAGGGGAAACACTGCGCCAAGGTACTTCTATACTGATAAAGGCTACATGTAAATGGCTGCCTATGGATTTCATGATGCATTTTTCAACTTATTTCCGCCCAAGCAGTACTATTGTTGTGCACACGAAGGTCTCATTTTTATGATCATTTTTTTACACTTTTGGGAATGGGGGCAGTTGTTAAATTTTTTGGTAGAAAAAAATAATGCCTTATGTTTCGTCCTCAATAGCACTTACACAAGGATTTTCCAGACAGTATGTGAAATATTCGTCATAAAAATTGCCCTTTTTTAACAATGTCATGACCCTTGTGCAGCTTTGTGTTGATTTCAATAGAGTCAGTGAATCGACGTATTAGGCAGTCCCGGAAAACGACAATCGTTGATAACAATTAGTTTTGGCGACAATATTTATACACGGAACAAGGAAGCAACTGAATTATGCACAATATGATGACTTAGCCAAAATTACGCCGTGGGAGAAACAAAGGTGTATAACACAGATGTATGGCAGAAGAATCCACCTCGATAAATATACACAAAAGGGGGGGGGGGAAAGGGATTTTTGCACTTTTCCCCCAACAGTTTCCCTTGATTTTGTGTAAATATCACCGATAGTTAGTAGTCACCTCCAGCAATTTTTGCCAATATCACCACCTCGCTGTGAAGATTTGCAATAAAGGAAATACTAATTGAAAAATTTTCATTTTGTGTAATTTATGAGCGTTTTCCTTGACTTCTATGTATCAAGAACTCACAATTTGGATGTGTAAATGGAATCAACTCGCATTTTTGTACGGGCAGCATCCTTTTGAGTTCGCAAACCGCGTCAATTTTGTTTCAATCATCAACTTGAATTTTTACCACCTCGCTCATTTCATTAGCCAGGGGAAACACTGCGCCAAGGTACTTCTATACTGATAAAGGCTACATGTAAATGGCTGCCTATGGATTTCATGATGCATTTTTCAACTTATTTCCGCCCAAGCAGTACTATTGTTGTGCACACGAAGGTCTCATTTTTATGATCATTTTTTTACACTTTGGGAATGGGGGCAGTTGTTAAATTTTTTGGAAGAAAAAATAATGCCTTATGTTTCGTCCTCAATAGCACTTACACGAGGATTTTCCAGACAGTATGTGAAATATTCGTCATAAAAATTGCCCTTTTTAACAATGTCATGACCCTTGTGCAGCTTTGTGTTGATTTCAATACAGTCAGTGAATCGACGTATTAGGCAGTCCCGGAAAACGACAATCGTTGATAACAATTAGTTTTGGCGACAATATTTATACACGGAACAAGGAAGCAACTGAATTATGCACAATATGATGACTTAGCCAAAATTACGCCGTGGGAGAAAAAAAAAGGTGTATAACACAGATGTATGGCAGAAGAATCCACCTCGATAAATATACACAAAAGGGGGGAAAGGGATTTTTGCACTTTTCCCCCAACAGTTTCCCTTGATTTTGTGTAAATATCACCGATAGTTAGTAGTCACCTCCAGCAATTTTTGCCAATATCACCACCTCGCTGTGAAGATTTGCAATAAAAGAAATACTAATTGAAAAATTTTCATTTTGTGTAATTTATGAGCGTTTTCCTTGACCTCTATGTATCAAGAACTCACAATTTGGATGTGTAAATGGAATCAACTCGCATTTTTGTAAGGGCAGCATCCTTTTGAGTTTGCAAACTGCGTCAATTTTGTTTCAATCATCAACTTGAATTTTTACCACCTCGCTCATTTCATTAGCCAGGGGAAACACTGCGCCAAGGTACTTTTATACTGCTAAAGGCTACATGTAAATGGTTGTCTATGGATTTCATGATGCATTTTTCAACTTACTTCCGCCCAAGCAGTATTGTTGTGCACATGCAGGTCTCATTTTTATGATCAAGCCCAGTTAGAAAACATTTTTATCGCAATTATATACCATCGTCGTTATTAATAGTTTTTTTTTTTACACTTTTGGAAATGGGGGGCAGTTGTTAAATTTTTCGGTAGAAAAATAATGCCTTATGATTCGTCCTCTATAGCACTTACACGAAGAATTTCCAGACAGTATGTGCACTATTCGTTATAAAAATTGCCCTTTTTAACAATGTCATGACCCTTGTGCAGCTTTGTGTTCATTTCAACAGACTCAGTGAATCGACACATATCCCGGAAAACGACAATCGTTGGTAACAATTAGTTTTGGCGACAATATTTATACCCGGAACAAGGAAGCAACTGAATTGTGCACAATATGATGAGTTAGCCAAAATTACGCCGTGGGAGAAAAAAAGGTGTATAACACAGATGTATGGCGGAAGAATCCACCTCGATAAATATACACAAAAGGGGGGAATGGGATTTTTGCACTTTTCCCCCAACAGTTTCCCTTGATTTTGTGTAAATATCACCGATAGTTAGTAGTCACCTCCAGCAAGGTGGAAAGTGCACACAAACGTTGGATGCATTTTGAGGAAAAACATTTTTGACTAAAAGTGCACGACTACATCCGGGAAAGCGAATTTGAACCCAATTTATATTTCTCAACGTGTTGTTTTTTGTTCAGTTTCCAAGTGACGGCGCACATTTTAATGATGTAATGATAAGCAAGGATCCCACAGATCTCTCTGATGAGATTTTTCTAAATTACAATCTCATTATGATAATAAATGGTTGATTATATTGTAATGTTTTAGGGGACGGAGAGTGTCCGCTCAAAGACCCCGTATAGCAAACCATTTTGTAAACGATAAACACAACCGTTCAAATCGTTCAATTGCAGGTTTCGAAAAAGGTTTGGATAAATATGAAAGTTGCCAGCTATTTGTTTTTCAGCCCTCTTGAATTCTGACTAACTTGTTGAAATTTGTCCCCACTTGGAAATGAAAACATTGTCATCTTCTGAAGTGTTTGTGTTAGTTTTAAGTCAGGTAGACTCGGAGTTGTGGATGGAGCGCTGGCTTGGACTGGTAGGGCACCAGTCAATAAATTCACAAGGGTACCAATGAAGAATCTCCAACTTAAAAGGTCAATGAGATGAATTTTGCTTATAGGAGCAACTTTCTAAACCTATTAAATGTATGAAAACTATGTGCAATTCCTTTTTGGTTAATTTGATTGAAAAGTGCATGTTCTTTAAACTTTTGAAATTTTCCAAGCTTTTCCGGACAACTGAGGGCGCTGTTGCTATGATGTCATTTCAGGATGACGCTCTTCGGTTCAGGAGTTTTCTGTTCAAATATTGTGAACCCCAAAATGCATTCATTGAAAACATTCGTGAGAAGACTTTGCTCATTGGCTTCCTGCCATGTACTGACACAACAACGAATCACCAAAGAAAAGAACATTTAGAACAGCAAAATATCCAACTTCTGGCAACTTCTGGTGCTGAATTAGCAGTAACATTGAGATTTCTGCCTGAAATGACATCGCACTTTTGCTCATGAATATGGAAATTCGCATCAGCATAAAAACAAAACGGCACCGGAACACCCTTGAAAACGGCAAAACGAGAATGAAACATTACATTGCATGGGCCCTTTAAGTTGAAGCTTGATTTATGCTCTTTCACTTTTTTTTTCTTTTTTTTTTTTTTTTCATTTTAAAAGAGTCATTGAGTGAACAAATTAGTTTTGGTGATATCGCCCTCCAGTGATGAACACCCCTAGAAGCAGTCCTGAAGCTCAGCGCCATTTTGAAAAATATAATGACCCCTGCACTCCAGTGCAAAATAGAGCGCCTTTGGGGCCCAATTTAATCCCTAATTTCTCAAAAACATAAGTTCAAAGACCAGTTTAGAGCTGGGATTCTTCTCCGCCGCACAAACCCTCAAGTGCAGGGCCACGAAACTCTAGTAAGAGAAAAATGACAGCAAACAATGTTAATGTCAAATGATAGTTAATGTCAAAAGATATAGAAAAAGAAGTCAAAATATGGAATGTGTATTGTCAAGATGAAAGTCTGTTTACCCGGTGGAGTTCTTGCTAGCCGGAATGAATGCTACTGAGGGTTCCTCTCGATAGTCCGAAGGTTTATTGATCCGAAAGTTCGATAGTCTGAGGCCTGAACACACGAATTTCCCATACCCGGAGTTTCATTAGTCCGAAAATAAAATGGTTGCAGTCCGATAGTCCGAAGGTTCGATGGTCCGAAGGTTCTGTTTAAAACCGGCAAACTACACATTTATTCCTTTTTTTATTCCAGACGTTACTGGCCTACATCGTGATCCCGCTGATCGGGCTTACATTGGCTGCTAGTGAGATACCAAGAGATGACGTCACGAATGTGTCATCCACCGTTTCACCCTCCGAAGAGGTCTTCGCGACCGGTGAGTGTAGTTATATCGACGTCTACTTCAGGTTGTTTTTTTTTGTAACCAAATGTTGCTGTATAGCCTTACATTGCATTGACTGATTTTTTTCGTTCTTCGGCAGACTCGAATTGCGGCCACATCACTTCGAATGGGAGCCAATCCGAATGCACCAATGACACGAGCGACGAATGCGGCGTCTGTAAACCGCTACGTGAGTCACGTGATTTTTAATTTTCATGTCGTCTGTCACTAACCATTGGAGGAACTATTCCTGCATCTCTCTGTGGCAGAGGGTCAAAGAGAGAATTACAATAGTGCGCCAAAATGAAATTTCTTTTGACAGTGTTTATGTTCCTTAAGACAGTATAGAAACATGCGCACATTAAAGCTTAAAATGGGGCCGTTAATTTATCACATAACATGTCAGGCTTTAGCATGCCAGAATCTGCCCTGTTGAAAAAGAAGTGTCGTAGGCTTAAATAACTCGAAATAAGTAACAATTTTACCGATGCTGGTGAAATATTTTTGCTTCGTGTCCGGTATGCATTCATACAATGGTTCCAATTGGACTTCGACTTTGGAAATTAGACCAATTTATACGAAACTTTAACCAAAATACCACATACATACATACATACCCGCATGTATGTTTACGTTACATACCAAGTGTGGACATTCCCTTGGTTTCGTGTAGTTAAGAAAACCAGTGAAAACACTCATTTTTTTCGAACTGTGCAAACTCTTTCAACCCAATTTTTTTCTATGATCCCCTTTAGTGTTTCTCTTCATTTTGCCACGGATAAACCTAACCCCAAAATGCCTCTAAACCTGTTTTCCGGAATTTGGTATTTTCGATCAATTTTACAAATTAATTTCGAACGATTACAGTACAAACTCTCAATATAACAAATTAATCATTCTTGCAATTGTCCTCCGATAGAAAAGAAAGAAAATAAAACAAAAAGTTATGTGGCGATGGCCAAGTCTTCAGGAGTCGGACTTATGACCCTAACTCAATGAGCCCCTTACCAACTTCCATATAGAACTCTTCCTGGACTCGGTACCCGGCCCACCACACCTCCTTCCCTGTCCATCCATGTAACTCGAAAGTCAGGCACCATAAAGGGAGGAAACGAGGTGGCACCCTAAGCCTTGCTGCCGAGTCAGCAAAAGAACCCCGTACCTATACGCAGATGCCAACCTGGACTTCGCAGACAGTCCCAACTTGTGAGTCAGCTTAACGACCGACCGAGCTAACTGCTGACGGAAAATTAATACTCTTAAATGACAGAACCGCGGGCATCGAAAACCAAAAAATGACACCAAGCGGGTTCGAACCCCTAACCCTGGGTCCGCTGTCAGACAGCTTAACAATTAGGCTGTTTCATTGGGTGCTTTTCTCTTTGCGTTTAAAATATAATCCTTATTTCCGCAGTGGGAGAGTTACTTTGTATTTCATAGTTGCACGAAAGATGCATCAGCATCGCGCTTTACACACGAATACGTAACTCTTTTCTAAAATCATTCTTATGTACCGAGCAGTTGACTATTCTCAGTCACTACGAGCAATTAGCCTTACCAAGCTCGTCCTTATTCTGTCTAATCAATTGTTTCGCGTCGCGCGTCTTTCGGCCGGCACTGACATCGCGTTGATTGAGTGAAATTCTAGCAAGTTTCCCTACTAGGCCATCAGCCTCGGTCCAAAATGTTGGCCACCGGCATTCGCCGTGGTCTATTACATAGACTACCCTAATTCACGGTCTACCTCCAAATCGGGATTTTGTGTATTAATGGAAAAATATAGTCAAATGTTGTTTAGGGGTTTTTTTTTTCAAATTAATTTCATGGTATTTCGGGTTTTTTACTGTTTAATAAATCACAGTAATTTGGACGTGCATTGATGGACATTATGCAGATATTACAGGAGAGGAAGACGCGGCACAACAGGTATGAGTACGATGTTTCGTTATTTTCTGTTATTGGTTTTTTTTTCTTCTTTTTCTTCTTTTTCTTTGCGCCCGCTGCAAAACAAAATAATGAACTGGTGCGCGATTTGTTTTCAAACTGGCATTTAGCTTTCTAGTCATTTCGATATGGTTGTCGTTTATTACCGAGGGAAGGGTGAGGGTGGTGCAGTGGCAAGGGCGGATCCAGGGGGGGGCCAAAGGGGGCCATGGCCCTCCCCAAAACGAAACCATTTTTTTTGTTTTTATGTGACGTCGCAATAAAGGCAGGCAATGAGTACACCACCATCTTTTCTTTAAAAAAACATTGGTAAAAGTGGTCAGAAATTGCCTCAGATCGCACCACAGAGCATCTAGAATCCCAAAAATTTTCGGAGCCCTTACGCGGGCCCCGAACCCCACGCCGTAATTTTTTGACCCACTTTTTGGGGGGACCCAAAAAATGTTTGGCCCCCAAAAAAATTGTCTTCTGGATCCGCCCTTGTGCAGTAGCACTTTCTTCGCCTTCCACCTCTGTGGTCCAGGTTCGAATCCAAATCATCGGTCTGTTATGTAAATTAGCGCGGTCTTTATTAATATGATGGTAATGCTCAATCATGCATTGGTGCATTTTGTGTTGAGAGTATACCTCCGTGGACAAACAGGTTTCGCACATGAAATGTTCAAACTACCACAGCTCAGAGACAACATATGCAATTGCAACGATTTTTTCGTCACTTATGCTTCAAGGCCAGTACTTAAATAGGTACTAATCAAAATTCAAAATAATGTTTAAACATAGGTGAAATTGCTGTCAAAATTGGATTTCCTTTATTTTGAACCACCCTGTAGAGTCGTATACAGCAACTATAGAGAATTTAAGTATTTCCTATTATGCTGCTTGCAGAATGATTTTGAGGAGAGGACTTGCAGGATTGCCGGTTTTTTTTCGCCATTGTTAAGCCCACTTGGCAGTAGGTTCCGCAATGCACGTACCCAGTGGCGTAAATCTTTGCCGGCGAGTGGGGGGATGGGGATGACCAAAATCCTAAAATCCTTTCATATTTTTTCAAATTTTGGTGGGTTGATCGATGACTTCCTGGAGAAAAACTCACCCAAAGAAGACCACCCCGAAAACAATAGAATAATTTGATTGTATAACTTTTATTCATGATATCGGCGGACGGATTTTTGACCTATTTACTGGGGTGTAGCCGTAAGCCTTGTTTTTATGTAAACGATCTCACATAACAGGGTATACGCTATTTGTGGATACCTCACGTTGTTCTGAAAACCACTAGCATGCACTGTACACTCGATGTTTCGGTGTGCGTGTTCGGACCGTCAGCAATATACCTATAATGTTTTCCCCTTGCCACCTGGTGCATTTACACAGGTGTTGAACGTCATCTTATACGTCGGGTTTTCTGTCTCCCTTATTGCTTGCATCGTTGCCAACGTCATCTACATTATGACAAGGTAAGTGTCGATGTCGCATGCGTTCAATTTCAATGTATCCGTTCAACTTGATGCCATACCAAAATGGCCCTTCCGAAACGGCCCATCGAGATGTTAAAATTACACTCTTTATTAAAATTCTTGAGTGTGAGACGATGGTTTTTTTTAACAAGGAATTGTTACCATTATTAAGAAAGAAATTACGCCTAATAGCAGGGAAACTTAGGCCTAATGTAAGTCACCATGCATACTTGATTCCGCGTTTCCGTGGTAACTTTTCACAGAGTCGAACTTGGACGGGTGCCCCCACCCCAACCCGCGAGGCGTATGACCTCATCAGCCCTCGCCCCCCCCCCCCCCCCCACCCCACCCCCACCCCCTGCTAAGAATTCGGGATGGCAAAAATGAGTTTTTGTTGTTAACAAAAAGATTGTCAAGAGATGACAAGGGAAAGTAACAAACAAGACACATTAAAAAAAAAAAAAAAAAAGGAAAAGTAATTTGGAATTTCTGTTCCCGTCCTGTTCTCTATTTGTAGACGTGGATTGAAGGGCAGTCCGTATCACGTGCACTGGAACTTGATTGCCTCCTTCACGATATATCACGTGGTGTTCTTGATAGACTACAGCATCCTGCCGATGTGTTACGTCACCAATATGGTAATGTATTCATGAAACCATTAAACGTCTACAGTCTCAGAAAAAAACCCACGTTTTATAGGTACTAGGCGTATACGAACTCGCTTGCAATTATGTAAAAAGTTACCTAAAACGTGTTTGGTAAAAGTTTTCTTGACAGTAAAAGTTTACTTGATGTCTATATAATTATATGTATACATTTATTAGGTATAAAGTCAATTAAGTAAACTTTACACAACTTTCCTGTGAAACAATGCTTCATTACATTGTTAACATTGTAACATTGTTTCCTTTCCCGACCTGTGCAGCACTGTGACAGCGATGGGGTATGCCGCACGCCCACAGCTATTTTCGGTCTTTGAAGATACATTTCCCTCAAGTTCTTGTGATTGTCATATCGTCCCGAATCTCCAAAACTTCTGGGACACTTTGCACGCCAAGATGCAACAGGATATTACAAAACCCACAGCTCGGCCATGGCTAGTATGCACGCGTGAATATTTACATACATGTACATAATTCCTACGTGCAGTGTTACTACATGTATATGCAGTTATGTAGGCCTGCATGCATACGCGCAGTAGCCGAGCTGTGGGTTATACACTACATAAATACGAATATCTTGTTATAAATATCGTGCAAAGTGGCCAGGTATTTTGGGGGATTGGGAAGAGAATGACAATCACAAGAGCTTTCGAAAATGTTACATTCAAGGACAGGAAATAGCTCCGGCATAACCCCATCGGTCACGGCATAAAGTATGCTTTGCTGTGCTGCGCGGCGTGTTTGCCTACGTTTTTACCTTGTTTTAGTACGTTTTACCTAATTGCAGTACGTTTTCACAATTTAGGTAAACTGACTGCTCTACTTATTTAATATGTGTTTTCAAATTTACGTTTTTTCCAGGTACTTTTCTTCTTCTTGTACTTAATTTGTACTTAATTATTTTTATATAACTTTCTGAGAGTGTACCGGGATGAGAGAAAACAGAAGTCTGACTCTAGCCCTCAGTTGATCAACAGTTTGGCGTAAAACATAAACTTTTTGGTTGGAAAGTTGGTGGCCAACATCTTTTATCTTCATGATAAAAACACAACAAATATAATTGCGTGTCAAACAGTCAGATACCCACAAATAAAAGGTGCCAGCCTACATGTCATGCGCACTCCAAGGGTCTTTCGACCATATCAACTAACAGCGACCTCTAAAAATGCCTCAAAGCACAGTTTTGATTTATGTTTTGCCCTACAGCACGCGCGAAACGTGCTGCACGTGCTAGCGGCGTACGCGGTCTTGGCCAACTTCTTCTGGATGCTGGTGGAAGGTCTCATTCTTTTCGGCATCGTGGTCATCAGCTTTTTCAAAGAGCAGAAAGGCAGACAGTTCATCAAGTGGTGTCTACTCGGCTGGGGTAAGGAATGGTATTTCTCGCATCCTTTTCATCAAGGCGCTAAGTTTAGGATAGACGAAAAGGGATATTGCTGTACACAGTTGCACAGAGGAGTGAACAGTTGAAAGCGTTTGGGGACCAGACATTGAGAATCCTTACCCTTTTTATCCCCTGGCTTTAGCCAAGAAAGGTGGATCTTGCGATAGTGTATTCCTTCTGTCCGTATGTGTGTTCCATTTTGGTTAGGTTAACTGTTTAGTGCTGTCATATGAAAAGTCAGACTTCACTCTCAACCAAACTTGGTGACAATAATCTTTGGGTAGGATGCCCTTCCTCCATGGGTAGGGGGACTTCAGATGACTTGAGACATTTGAGGTCAAAGGTCCTCTAGGGTCAAATGAGGTCATTGTGGATTTTCGTTAGGTCAACTAAAAAGTGTGCTTACTAAACAGACTGTATAAATACTGCCAGCATGCCAGGGGGATCGCGCCCGTTTAACTTGCAGTTAGTTTTTCATGCAAGGTTACAGCATCGCACTACAGTACACGTTGTAAAAGGCCTTTCATTGAAACTTGTTGAAACTGCTGGTCAAAAGTGTAGATGACTTTCTGATTCATAGGCAAATAGTTTTCTTCGTTTCAAGTTTGAATAAATTGGAGATATTTTATATATTTTTTTTAATTTCAGGTGCACCGGCTGTATTGGTTATCATCTGGATTGTTTTGAAGAGGCTTACCTTAACTGGCGACTGCAGGTTGGCCTCATCAAACTTAACATTACAAAACTACCTTTGTTACAATTCGATATGTCTGATCAAATGTGTGACGGTGACATTATACACTCTAACAACTCCCGGGTCATAGTGACCGGGAAATACAAACCCAGCTTTTGCTTCGTCTCATGCTCAAATAAATGTATTACTTTTAACATGCAACCCAAATGAAACTACGTCACATTTTTGGCTTCTGCTGTACAATTGTCATGATATTTTTCTGTTGTGCAGTTTTGATGATGTCATACTAAGCAAAAAAATGGAGCCACATTGGGCCGGAATGTCTATTTTTTTATACTGTTTTTCCCCCTTTTGTTCAAACCTTAGGGTTCTGGAGCTTAAGGTCGAGGGAACCGCTTGGCCAAACATTGTCTGTCTGGTTGTTCCCGTTTTGGTCATATTGCTGGTAGGTACCGTATTGGCCTAATGACCAACAATGGTCGGATACTTCCTGATCGGCCCGTTCAAAACTTTTAGTTATTCGCTTGAGAACTCAATAGTTATCCTCTTGAGAACTCAATGGTTATCCGCTTGAGAACTCAATGGTTATCCTCTTGAGAACTCGATAGTTATTCTCTTGAGAACTCGATGGTTATCCTCTTGAGAACTCAAAAGGTATCCGCTTGAGAACTCAATGGTTATCCTCTTGAGAACTCAATAATTATTATCTTGAGAACTCGATAGTTATCCTCTTGAGAACTCTATGGTTATCCTCTTGAGAACTCAATAGTTATACTCTTGAGAATTCAATAGTTTTTCTCTTGTCTGAGCACTCAATGGTTATCCTCTTGAGGAATCAATCGTTATCCTCTTGAGAACTCAATGATTATCCGCTTGAGAACTCAATGGTTATCCTCTTGAGAACTCAATGGTTATTATCTTGAGAACTCGATAGTTATCCTCTTGAGAACTCTATGGTTATCCTCTTGAGAACTCAATAGTTATACTCTTGAGAATTCAATAGTTTTTCTCTTGTCTGAGCACTCAATGGTTATCCTCTTGAGGAATCAATCGTTATCCTCTTGAGAACTCAATGATTATCCGCTTGAGAACTCAATGGTTATCCTCTTGAGAACTCAATGGTTATTATCTTGAGAACTCGATAGTTATCCTCTTGAGAACTCTATGGTTATCCACTTGAGAACTCAATAGTTATACTCTTGAGGAATCAATCGTTATCCTCTTGAAAACTCAATAGTTATTCTTTTGAGAACTCGATATATAGTTATCCTTTTGAGAACTCAATGGTTATCCTCTTGAGAACTCAAATAGTTATCCTCTTGAGAATTCAATAATTATTCTCTTGTCTGAAAACTCAATGTTATCTTCTTGAGAACTCATGCTTATCCTCTTGAGAACTCAATGGTTATCTTCTTGAGAACTCAATAGTTATCCTCTTGAGAACTCAATGGTTATCCTCTTGAGAACTCAATGGTTATCCTCTTGAGAACTCAATGGTTATCCTCTTGAAAACTCAATAGTTATCCACTAGAGAACTCGATGGTTATCCTCTTTAGAACGCAATAGTTGTCCTCTTGAGAACTCAATGGTTATCTTCTTTAGAACTCAATGGCACGGTCCTCTTGAGAACTCAATAGTTATCCTCTTGAGAACTCGATGGTTATTCTATTTAGAACTCAATGGATATCTTCTTGAGAACTCATTGGTTATCCACTTGAGAACTCGAGGGTTATCCTCTTGAGAACTCAAAACTTATCCTCTTGAGAACTCAATAGTTATCCTCTCAAGAATGTGACGGTTATCCTCTTGAGAACTCAGTGGTTATTCTCTTAAGAACTCAATGATTATCCTCTTGAGAACTCAATAGTTATCCTCTTCATAACTCAATGGTTATCTTCTTGAGAACCCGATGGTTATCCACTTGAGAACTCAATGATTATCCACTTGAGAACTCACAATGTTTTTCCTCTCTAGAACTCAATGGCTATCCTCTTTAGAACTCGATGTCCATTGGAATAGTTGTCTGCCCGATCACCTTGCGTTTGTAACTCAACAAACGTAAATCTTTAGTTACATTTGTCCTTTCTGCACAGATCAATGGAGTAGTTTTGGTCATCGTGATTCGAAATATTAACAGGAAACTCAGAGCCTGTGACCGTAGAGACGAGCGAAAGAGACACAGGTTAGTTTCATGCGGCTCTAGACAATTCAGAATTCTCAATAATTTTGTCTGGGTTGTCGGTAGATTGATGTTGCAGCCGAGGGAAAAACCTGGGCGCGATCCCAGCTCGAGTGTCTTTTGAGTGCGCTTTCTAAAAGATGTGCGACTTTTGTGTCGAAATTTGACCCACAGACGAACAGCCAAGTCCACCCTGGTCCTGTTGGTTCTGCTGGGCTCCTACTACGCCTTGCCCATTGTGGCTGCCTTAATCGAGAATCCCTGCCTGATGGTGTACATCGTGACGTACCTGGCGAGGATCATCTCGTCCATGCAAGGACTGGCTGTCACTACGCTCTATGTCTTCCGTAATGGCGAGGTACGTGAGCAGGTACGACAGCCAAAGTTTACGGCACACCGCACTTAAAGCCACAAGTGCCCGGGAAAAGTACCCACCGATTTCCTGACTTAAACCTCGCTCAAATAGGACTGATATCTCAAACAGGACTGTTGTATCTACCCTACAGGGTGTCCCAAAAAAAATGTGCCAGCAGATATACACTCAACCAAATAAAAGAAAGTCCCCTTCCAATACTTTTTTGTCTCCCTCAAAAACTACTGCGCACCTCTCGCTCAAATAACGACTAATCAGTACAGAAATTCATTAGCGATCCAGCCATATAGTGATAATGTGTACGAAATTATGCAATTTATGACAAATGGTACCGACAACAGTTGCACTTTTCGTTTTGTTTTCGTTTTGCTGAAACAACGCACACCTTTTTGTGATCCGTGGACAGAACTTTAAAACGGTGGTTGTGTTTAAAAAGTACATGAGTGATTTGAATGATTCTTGTACTAAAAGAAAGCTTATGAATTGGGCTTTCATATCCTAGATTTTAAAAGTGCTTTATGCAGAACTTCATTTTGGTTTCGTTTTTTTACTCACCCCGTATTGCCATTGGAGATATTTTAGAAAGTTTTCAACATCCAGATAGATGTAAGAAAGCGTATGGAGTTCCCTCTGAGTAACATTATAGTATTCCCTGTGGAAGAGTGTTAAATCATTTGGGTTGATTGAGGTTTAATATCATGATCAAAATAAAATTATGATTTAAAGGGACACTAGGTCCTGGAACAACCCAATTAGGCTACAAAAAGCACTTTGAACAAGATGATGTTAATCGGAAAAAGCATTTAAAAGTAGGATATAAACATCCACACAACTATCCTTTCAAAACTGGGCATTTTTGTGTTATTCCTGTATTATGCGTGCGAAGGGCCCACCTTTGCGACCTCATAAATTCGAGCTGTTTGGATGCTAGTTGTGATTTCATTCGTAAAGTGTTCGCCTTTTGCGGACGTTGAAGAAACCTTTTTTTTTTTGCATTGGTGATTGGTCACCGCTGTTCCCGAGACACACAACGTGTGTATCGTACGCTGAGAACGACACGAAAAACGTATTCGTACTCCGTCATGTCTGATGTAAACAAGCAGGGTTTTTTTTCGTCCTTTCTCGGGAACGGTAAGACATTACTTGGTTTCCTTTCAACCAGATGTTTGAGATAGGCTAAGTAAACAATCCAAAAACATAAATTTTTCAGGAATTTCAGGACCTAGTACCCCTTTAAGGAAGAACAAAGTTTCGTGTTAGTTGAACTTGAAAGCACGACATTTCTTGCTACAGGTTCGGCGCTTACTAAACAAGCGATTTGATCGGCTGGACATGAGCTGGAAGTCCGGCATGGGAAGCACTCGGATGAGCTCGCTCAGTTCCAGCAAGAGGAACAGTAGCTCCTCCGGCAGCGATGCCAGCAAGGCGCGGCGAAGCACCGCCGGTACTGTCCCAGGGGCGGCCATGCTGGAGATGGACACCGCGCCGACTAAGCCCCTGCAACCAGCAGCGGACGTGAACTACAACAAGCCGGCGGCAGGGGGACGGGAGGATAACCGCATCTTGATGGAGCCGCCTGACACGCAGGACGGACAGAAGAGTACGAGGTCCGGTAGCGGGTACACCAAGCTGGACACGACCGACCCGGATGAGGAGCGTGGCTGATCGGAATATTAAACAGCGCCCTCCTGATGAGGGGAAAACCTGCCCATGTTAGGATTGAGGCCCAATTGTCGATACGAAAACCGAAATAGTGTTTTGACTGTAGACTTGTACGGATCGTAAGCAATTGGGAGAACGATTATGAGTAGATGAAAGTACGAGGAATGGAAAGGTACAGACATTTTGTTCATTGCGATTTATAGCCTTATTGTAGCAAGAGAGGTTTGTCTTTTATGGGCCTTATTCACGAGTTTGCCATTTTTGACGAGTTCCCTGAATGTATTTCATTATTGTTCACTGTTGAATGGGATGGCGCCAGACTATTTATGCAGGCGCAATGCAGCCTTATTTTACTGTCATTTTTCTTTAATATGGTTTTAAACATTAGGGAATGTTTAATTACAAATTTTAAATTATTCATTGAAGCGGACTGGAATTTATTATACATTAATTGCTTTCATTTCTCTATGCAAGTTTAAGATTTTACCTGACTTTTAAATCAATATGGCCGACTCGTGAATAAGGCCCATGGCACATTTCATCAATATGGTTGCAGGCCATTAAATAGGCCCGGAATTGCCTACGCCGGCCACATTACGATTTGTATGCCCTCAGAATTTGTTGGCTATTAGAGCGTTTTGTGGGCCATGAACTTGAGGGTTTGTTTTAAAACAAAAAAGCGTGAAAGCTGTGAATAGGACTGCGAGCTCGTGTTTCTGTGAAATTTAGGTGAAATGGGCCCAGAAATTGCTCTGTTATTGCTGTAATGATCAGGAGCGCAGGCATCATTTTTCAAAATGGCGATGCACTTCAGGCCTACTTTTAGGGGTGATCATCTTTGGATGGAATTTTCTACCAAAAGCCATCGGTAAACCCCCTAAAAATTAAACGGAAAATCAAAGACAATAAAATATGCTTTAATTTGATGTGTGCCTCAAACGCCACGGAGAGCTGTGAGTGGGCCCTATTTTTCCTGGATTTCGGAGGTGGGCGTATTTATCACTGGGGTCTATGGCAGTTTATTTACTGGTCTGCAACCATATGTGCAGGAAGCTTTGAGAGTGGAAAGCTATTATTGTTAAAGAGATCTGTAAAAAAAAAATTGATGACAGATGAATTTACTTCATCGATGGGAATGAACTTTACCAATTTCGTGGAGGTTTATAATTTTTGTACATTTTGTAGATTTACGCGTGTTTATATTCTTATGCTAGATGGTTGTTTCCTATGAACAGACTGGAGATTGATTGGCTAAATGATAAAAAGACATCGGTCGTTTTTTAGCTTTCAAAACTAGATTTCCGTTCACTGTAGATTTTCCAGTCAAAAAGTTGGACGAGATATAGTGATTTCGACTGATTTTTTGTTCAATTGCATATTATAGTTAATGCTAATAAGTTTGATTGTTATTCGGGCAAATATGGAGTTTTTGTTAAAGAATCTTTTCCTTTCTTAATTGCATGTATATAAACGCTACATTTTCTGTCCCGTATCCTGCCGTTTATAACGAAGCATCGTTTATTAGCAAGACAGCCAGTGCATGTTTAAGCCCGCCGCACGCGAGAGCTATCTGCTGACCAACTATGTATCGAGGCCGTTTGCTCAGCACGTACCAGTACCTATTAAACCGTGTGCGGTCAATTTCAAAAATGGAGGCCCCAAACGAAAGTGTCAGCGACGTTGTCAGCGACAATATTTTAGGCCAAATAAAAAAAAAATGTTTAGCGTCATGTCTTTTTGAAAAATAAAAAAGGGGGAGGAGGCCTTTTTTTCCTTCAAAAATGGCCGCCCGTCCCATTTTTCAAAACGACAGACCGTTTTTTTTTTCAAGATGGCCGCCATCTTTAAATCACGTGAACATGAGTATGTGGTTTCATTGGCTAGTTATTTTTTTTTGGGGGGGGGCTCAGCACGTAGCTCAGATTGCCCGCATACGGTGAGTTGTTTGCCTCGCGAGGCCAAAAAAATCAAACAGGGATAGATATTTGCCTCACGGCCTCACGAGGCAAGAAACGTAGCAAACAATTGATCACACACGGTGAGCTACGTACTGAGCAAACGACCACGAATGACCTTTTTCCTCAGCAAATAGTTCTCGCGTGTGCGGCGGGCTTTAGGGTGTTTAATGCACCAGTTCTATATGACTTTTTTATATACACAGATTTAAAGATGCGAAAGAAAATGGCGGAGCACGCCGGTAAAGCTTTCTTTCCTGAGCTACAGACAAATACTAGTTGCATATCAACTGCATGAGCACTCGACAATTTTGAGATCCAAAAGCTTCATGACCAAATTATAACTATAAGGCAAATTAGAAGAAAAAAAACTCATAGAGGTTGGGGCTGTTGGACAGATAGAAATTAGAGGGGAAAAATCACGTCGCCATTTTGGGAAAATGCGGTCGGCAATTACGTCGAGGATAATTATTTGTACCATCCAAGGATCCAGAACCGAACCTGTCACCGCTTGCATTGTAAAAATTGCAAATTCAAAGTTCTGACATTATTTAGGGGTTGTCATGGGATTTACTGAATACAGAAATACTGCTTGCCGAAGACAGGTATCATTGCCATTATGTATCGCTTAAGACTATTTTAAGCTATAGGGTCGATACACCTGTGTCCTTTTGCTTTTTCCAATAGACTTTATTTACGTGTCAGCCATAGTAAATTTAAAGCGAGGTAAACTCTTCATTGTTCTCGCGAGTAGAAACGAAAAGAGAAGAACTTTATTCAAAGTGATGATAGGGTTGGTACCAAATGTCCTGTGAAATTATTAAATCTGAAATGGTATCGATTAGCAGAAAACAAATGAAAGTTTTTTTTAAATGTGCCCACGGGCACACTTTTTGAACATGTGTTAGCAACAGAACCAATAACGAGACCCCGAATAATGTTTGTTTTGTGTAAATTATGTTTTTTGTGTTTTCTAAAAATAGCCACTAAGGCAACTTGATCAGGTTAATTCTTATGCATTTGAGGTTAATGTTTTTACCTCTAATCTAGATACATGGCACTTTGGTTTACTTTTGTATAATATTTTGCATACATATTTACTGTACAATATACATGGTACACAGAATTAGTACTTTTGACTTGTTCTCAAATAATAATATGAGTACATTTTCCAGGTGTTTATAACAGTTTCCAGGTCGTCCTTCCCTTAGTAACGTAACGTAACATTGGTGACACGGATTGCAAAAAAAAAATTCACAGGGGCGGATCCAGGAATTTTGGCAGGAGGGGGGGGGGGGTCAGGCCCGTCAGCAAATCAGTGCTGAAATACAGACATTTGTTTTCTCCGGACACTTAGCCTCCATAACATTAAATAGTGGGGGCGGGGGGTGGGGGTGGTACAATCTTCCAGTGGGGGCGCTGTTCAAATCCGACGATCATGCACACTACTAGGCTATCGCACATGTGCAAATGCCCCCTTAACCCCCGCTGGACACGCCTCTTTTTCGAGAGTTGCGGACAGGCGGATAGCAGTTTCGGAAATCAGCCGAAACAAAGTTATTTTCGTTAATGGTGTAAATTGAGGACACACACGTGCAACATCATCGATAAATTGAGGACAGGAACCAAAGCGAGGACTCCTCGGTTAGAAAATGTGTACAAAACCAATGAGAGCTGTTGCAAAAAAGTATAACTAAAGGAAAACATAAGAGGAACAATAGAAAAATCCTCGATATTCACCATAAACAAACGTGCTAGTACGTACGTGTACGTGTGCAGGCACGGCCGTGTGGCACGTACAGTATAGTAAAACGGGCACCGGACAAATCAGCCTAATATATATTAAGCTGTACGACCGACCAGCGTTGGAAATTGATACGAAAAATACCACTTTTCTTGAAAACGACAACATACCAGGTGCCATGATTTTACAAGATGCTTTAGACTGTCATTCACTAATATTCCAGCTAGGTATTTCAAAAGAATTTGGTAGTTTTATTTTTGGATGTTTGCAAATGTTGTATTTTCCCTTTAAAAGAGGATTCACTACTACTGCTATAAAAACTCTACTGCTGCGTAGTGCATTATACATATCATCCACCGACTTAAAATATAATGTTAAATTCACAGGTTAAATCTTTTCCAGTCAACCTTGGGTTCAAAACAGAAAACTAATCTGTTCTTATTTGAAGTATTCCAGTTTGTCAGTTTCAGTCTTTCCATCTTGGATGCTGTTCAATTCGACTTCTCCTTGGAGTGACTTATACAGACGTACATGAACAAACTTGCCATCACCAGTATCAACCTGAAATCATGAAGAAAGGAAAGTTGTGAGCAGACTGGTGGCTAAAATCACATAATTTTCATGTAATTCAGACTGTTGATAGAGAGCCTGACAATTCAAAGCAATAATAATATACTTACAGTTTACTATTATCCATGACATGACATGACATGTGCCATCATTTCCAATCGTGATTGCTATTTAAATATTAATTCACTATATACCTTGGCCCTTTTTTGATAAGCAATCTACTATATGCAAATTGTCAATTTCCATGACTTAATAATAATAGTGGGGACGTCTCTATAGTCCGAAGTCCCATTGGTCCGACGTCCCATTGGTCCGACGTCCCATTGGTCCGACGGCCCATTGCTCTATACGTTCCATTGGTATGAACGTCCCAGTGGTCCGACGTCCCATTGGTCCGACGTACCATTGGTCCGAAGTCCCATTGGTCCGAAGTCCCATTGGTCCGAAGCCCCATTGGTCCGAAGTCCCATTGGTCCGATGCCCCATAGGGTTAGGGTTGGGGTCACAAGTCACAAGTGGAACTACACAGTATTATGTTTCGGACCAATGGGACTTCGGACCAATGGGACTTCGGACCAATGGGACTTCGGACCAATGGCACTTCGGACCAATGGCACTTCGGACCAATGGCACTTCGGACCAATGGCACTTCGGACCAATGGCACTTCGGACCAATGGCACTTCGGACCAATGGCACTTCGGACCAATGGCACTTCGGACCAATGGCACTTCGGACTAATGGTACTTCTGACTATCGAGACGTAACCCTTCATAGTGATGTCATTTATAAGCAAACTCTCCTGCCTCAACTGTTATGATTGTGTTACATGATAATGAAGCATTAAGTTTTGTTTATGATAGAATGTACACTGTATTTGGAAATATTGCATCTATGATCTATGAGTTACCGGAACCTGGTACAAAAAAAATCATTTACTCAATGGACCAATTTTGGATAGAAAAGATTTATTTCATCAATACCTTAACAAAATAGTTGATACCAGCGACAATCTGATATCTGTACAGCTTGGCTTCAAACTTCTCGAAACTTCTTCCCACGGCCGCTTCTGCCATGTATTTCACCTGACACATGTAGTTGAATAACAAGAAGTTGGAATAAACGGAAACAATTCATTTGAGCAATATTGAGTGAAACATCTGGTATGCTGGAATTGTTTCTCATCATTACATTGAAATGCATGCATCTGTAGCGTGTCAAAATGTGATAACATTACCAGATTCATGAAACAATGTTACAGATTAGTCGGCCTTATGCGTAGCGGCCATCTTAGATGGCATCTTGTGTTATTGTAATTAAGTAACAATGAAGGCACAACAGGTTCAGTCATGCATAGCCCAGCAAAACATATAGACAGTGCCCTCTAAAGATGGCTGATACATGCATAAGGGCGGGCGGATCCAGGGGGGCCAATAATTTGGGAACCCAATTTTTTTTTTTAAGTGACGTCGCAATAAAGGCAGACACTGCGTGCACCACCATCTTTTCCTCAAAAAAAATTTGGTTGAAGTGGTCAAAAATTGCCTCAGATCGCACCACAGAGCATCTAGAATCCAACATTTTTTCGATGCCTTAAGCGGGCCCCGAACACCATACCGTGATTTTTTGACCATCTTTTTGGGGACTAATTTCTTTCTTTCTTTTTGCCCCGCCCCTCAAAAAATTGGGTTCTGGATCCGCCCCTGGTCTACCCCCCCCCCCCCCAAAAAAAAAAAACAAGCCTGAATAAAGCCACTGATTTCTCTCAATTCATTTTTCTGGCTCTACAATTACAACATAATTTGTGAACCCCCCCCCCCCCCCCCTTGCCAGAGCGTGGAATTCTTTTTTATTTTTCTATGATTGGCGGGCCGGACACAGTGGGCGGGGTTTACAGTACCTGATCAACATATCCCTGAATTTCATCGTTCGCTTTCAGCGGTCCACTCAGTCCACCGGAGATCCGCTTGGTCGCCGCAATGTCGACTTAGGAATAATGATAGTTTCAAACCAGGAAAACATAAAACAAGTTCACAAAATCAGCAGATACAAACTACACACTGCGACAATCACGAGACATGTACAAGGTCTTGCATTTGTATGGAACGCCAAGCCCACATTCTATAGTCCCCTTTCATTTTCTTCATCAATTCCATCATGCCATTCGGCGATTTCATCACTTCATTCCACGATTTTATCATTCCATCGGCAATTTTATCATTCCATCACCAAAGTGCTATTTTCATGATTTTTTTTCAGTATTTGAAAAAGCTCTCAGCTTTAATCTGATACCAAAAACATGACAATCCACGTATCCCCTTTTTTTAAAGGCAAATGTTTTGGGGTTGTATTTTGGGGGGGTTACCCTGTATTGCATTATTATCACTGTCCAGTTTATTGTTCTCTTGTTGTGACGTCATGATTTTTTATAAGGCAATTTTGTGGCCACCATATCTCAACAATACGATTAGTTATGATTCTATTTCTTTGCACATTTTCTCATATTGATCTGAAAATTCACCTCATGGAATGTCAAGACCATGTGACCCATACTTCCTGTTTTACCGGAAGTGCGATTATTAAAGATTCTAATATCAAATTTTAATAGTTACAATTTTTTGGAAAAATCATTAAATCATTTGGCACTGTCCAATAGACAACTACAAACATTTTGGAAACAGCTCTGTGTTTGTTCAGTTACAATCACTTCTAGTTATACTTATATAGTAACAAGCTTTCAATCTTGCAAACAAGAACGGTCTGTTGACCACTAACATCCCCAAGTTTGCCCCATCACAAGTATTAAAACAACCGTAGGTAAAAATTATGTTGAGAACATACTGAGTTTAAAAGAAATAGCTGCATTAAAATCCAAATCTCATTTCAACAAATTATGACAATTTTTGTCATGCATGAAGAGTCCGCTTCTTTCTTGATTGGATATCTGTGTTTGTACCTTCAGATTTCTTGTCTTCGGTTAATTCCTTCAGGACACGATCAATCAAGAATTCCAACTCCTCTTGCTGATAATTCATGGACAAGGGAAAAAGAAGGTTTTAAGATAGTCTCTTGTAAACTGATCTGCCTGCCTAAAACCAGGGTGACCGTAAGGTCAGAGCCAAATTCTGCTAAAACGCACATCAAAAATCTGTCAGATTTATCAAAAATCTGCCGAATTCCCCAGAATTACTCGAAATACACTATAAACAATTAAAATCACATGTTGCCTTCATTAAGGTTCAAATTACATTATAAACAATCTATTGTCACATAAAGATGTCATGAAATTATCGTAAATTTCGGGCAAAACCTGGATCCAGCTACGACAAAGTCCGTTCCCAGTGAACCTCAGCACCTAGACCAGCCAACCTGTCCCATTATACAAGGGTTTGTTTGAAAGGATTGAGGCTTTTTAAAACAAAAGTACTATTTTTGTTCAAATTTGCTGTTTTTCTGTCAAATAACCATTTTTGCAGAATTCTGCCAGAAATCTGCCAAAAAATCCATTCTGTCAAATTTTCTGTCAAACTCGTTTTTTAACAGAAATTATGTCAAAGTTAGCCGAAAAGAGGTTAAAACGGTCACCCTGCCTAAAACGTACGTGCAAATGGCGCCCTCTTATAACTTCCAGCCACCTGGAAGTAGTCGGTAATGGATATAGTCATCGAATTCCAGGGAAACTGTTACAACACAAACTCTAAATTTTACATTGAAGTTTGATTAATGTCCCAATTGACATATGGCCAATTTGACTGATACAGCGATAGCCTTCTCGTATCCATTATCCATATCGCAAGTTATTTATTTGGTTTTTAATTTGTTTTTATGTCAACACGTTTGAGCGACATTTAAAACAAAAATGATACCACTTAGGTATCATTTTATAGTAATAAAACCTATTGTTGCTTTTTCCCTACAGCGTTTAGAATTTATTTTACTTCGGTTTTATTTGAACATGTAAAAAAAAAACCTACTCAAATTACAATATGCCAATCTGTCACCAGGTAGAGTACCCTGTAGCCCATTAAAGTTGAAATTTTATTAACATGGCAGCAGAAATCGCAAAATCTTGTGAAAAATACCATTTTCCAACTTTAATTCAACTGTAACTTTGTTATATAACCTGTGTTTTTCCATTAAACACAATCTTGCTATCACTTTGTAAACATGTTTAGAAACTAAGCTTTATGTGTTCAAAGTTCAGTTGCTGAACACTATCCTCCCTTACTATAAACCTGTTTAGTGTTTTAAAATGTTCACAAACTGATAGCAAGAAAGTGTTTAGAAAAGTGTTTAATTGGTAAACACAGTTTTTGCAGTGTATGGTGCACAGCACTTACGAGCAATTTTGATGGATTTGGGTGCTGTAGCAAATTTAATTATTATTTACTTAATATGTTAAAAGTCTCTAGTAAAGGAAATTAAAATCCTTATGATACCTATGAAGGTGAAGCCGAAGGGCAGCCTTCTTTCTTCTGAATGACTGACCGACCAACGGACCGACCCACCCACTCACCGAGTGACAGAGTCGCTGCATGTATGTCCTAAACTATCCAAATTGATGTCCAACTAATAACACTGACCAACTTTCCGAAACTGTCCAGCTGAGACTGACAATTGACCAGCTGTCGATTGTTTTTAGTCCATCTTGAATGTTATGGGCAATTTCTTTTCATAAATAATAATTTTAATTTCAGAAAGTCAGAATCAATAAACTACTGGCAGGTTTTTTTTAGACACTAATCACCTCAGTCTATTTTTGTTTATCAAAATCGATGTTTAATTAGCACATTGTTGACTTATGCCAAATTCACTTCACTATAGTAAAAAAAATATTGACTGATTTTCTTAGTTATTGAAAATTGACAAGGAGTTTACTTATTAAACATGCAAAGTTTCATTCTATGACTAGAAAAAGTAGTTTAATTTTACTCCAATTTTAGTTATTTACATAACTATTTTTCAAATACTGACTGGAAAAATCTAGTCAGATTGACTGATTTTCAGTTGCACCCAGCTGACCCTGAATAGCTAGTCAAATTTAACTGGTTTCTAATCAAATCTGACTAATTTTTTTTTTTTTAGAGTGTACTGGATTCTTTGAGAGATACCAAAAATGGCTGTTTAAGGGTATGAAACCAGGCTTTGCCCTTGCCCAAACCAACTTTCTCTCAAATGCCATTCATTCTTACCTCATTCATGGCGTCGGTGATCTGGAACCCAACAAGTCCCAGCACCAAGACAGCAGCAGCTACCCAGCGAAACATTCTCCTCTTGATTTCAGAAACTCGGAAGGACAAACGTTCTGACAAGCACTGAACTCTAGCCTAGTGTACGCTAGCGAGACCACACACCAGAGTGAGGGAGTGGCAGAAAGTGTTATGCATTTCTACTTACGCAAATGCCTCTATCCCATAATGTTTGCCAGAAAAAAAATGAGCATTGTTTACAGCACAATGAATTTATTCGTTATCATGCATATTTACGGAAGCGTTAAAGGGACATAATACAAGCTAAAAAAAAAAAAATAGGTCATAATTATGACTTATATCTCATAATTATGACTTATTATTAAGTCATTGTTATGACTTATATAATTATGACATATCTCATAATTATGACTTATTAAGTCGTATTTATGACTTATATGTTATAATAATGACTTAGTATTAAGTCATATTTATGAGATATCCTAAGTCGTAATTTCGACTTAATACTAAGTCGTAATTATAAGATATAAGTCATAATTATGAATAAAAAGTCATTACGGCATGAAATCCCGGAAATTGCATGTTTTGGATTGTTTACTTATCCTATTTCAGAAGTCTGGTTGAAAGAAAACTAACGCGGCGGACATGTTGTGGCATAAGCATACCAAGCCGTCTCTAAGTCTATTCAAATGTATGTGCTTTTGTGTGTTTGGTTTTCTTTATTTTTGAATAAAGTTTTGCCATCTCATCATTGGTATCAGTAAAAGGTTAAAGCGAGTGCAACTAGGTAGAGAACTTGTTTACCTATCAGACTTGAACAAAGCAACAATGGCTGACCTTGTTACCGGTGCCGTATGAAAATTAAACTCCTTTAGAAATCCTGTCCTTTTGATCTTCATGGCCTCGCGGAATGAGAGTTATCGGTCTTCTGTGCACTGAGACATGCGCGTTACGGTCAAAGGGCCTGTATTTCATAGAGTCAATTTTTTTCTCTAAACCCATGGTTTTGTGTGGCAAATGTTACTTATTGGCAGAACGCAATGACGTATGAAGACTGGTATTCATTATTGCGTGCAGCGGCCACACAAAGTAAATATGTCGCACTCGGTGTATACCTTTCATGTTATCCAAATAACAGTGTACTATGAACCTGGTACGCCCGTTTAAAAAAAGAATGCGTATGCATCGTCAGTTGTAGAATCGCCAGTGACTAAATGCACGTCAGTGCCTGAACCAGGGACATATTCGTCGAAGCGTTCGAACGTCAACTTCACAATGAGTAGATATACATTCTTGTTGTTTATGTTGGGGAAATCCCTGATCGTTCTCAGCTTCTTAGCAGTAGTCCGATCCCAGCCCAGGGTTACCGTTGAGCAGGGTGTAATTGAGGGCACAACCGAGACCTTTAAGGAAGATGAGTTCACCGGAGCAGGAGGCACGAAGGTGGATGTCTTCAAGGGGATACCGTTTGCCGAGCCGCCTCTCGGTCAGTTGCGCTTCAAGCCTCCGATGGAGAAGGCAGCGTGGGGTGAGGAGGTCTATGATGCCACCTTCTTCAGGCCTGCCTGCCTTCAAGATCCCTTCTACGCCTTCACGTTGGGTTTTGAGACGGACGAGAACTGTCTTCATCTCAATATCTTTGCGCCAAATAAGTCGGTGGTGAGTCGAAGTGGGATGGTTTCCATCCGCCCGTGTAGGTCTGAGTTCATGTGAGAATTGTCACGTTTCAATACCCGTATAATCTGTTGACAGAACAGGAAGGGTGTCAGTCAAGTTGGAGGTGATGTGATCGGACAAATTCAGTCGTATTTAAACGGTCGTGTCATATCACAAAATGCTAAGAATCTCACTGTGTTGTTGGGAGGATCGCTGTAATTACGTAATTACGTGTAAGTGTTTTCCTTTTTTTTCATTCTCGACTTCGTCTATGGCTTTTGTTTCATCAATGGCGTAAGACTCAATGGCTTAAGATTCACCAAAAGCCTTAACTTTGTTTCTGAAGCTTATAACAATGGACCCACATTTTTGGGGGGCTCGATTCCTTTATTTTTACAAACCCACATTGTATCACTGTATTTTAAGTCATTCTTACTCGTGTTTTCAGGAAGGGGGAGCTGCCGTTATGGTCTGGATCCATGGCGGTGGATTCACGTTTGGCTCTGCGATAGAACGGGTCTATAATGGACTGCCATTGGCCGCTGTGGGTGAGGTCATTGTAGTCACCGTCAACTATCGCCTTGGCGTCTTCGGATTTCTGTCAACGGGTACGCTGTTTTAGCCCAAGAACTCTCATGTCAATATTTATACAAAGCATGAAACAAGATATAAACCTCTGGTCACCTTTAAACAAACAAAAGAGGGTTTGAACCAAAGTCCTGTTTGGGCCAAGGTGACTATTGTTCTGTGGGTGAAGGTGTCAGGCCCTGATGATAAAATGATATTGATGTACATGTATACACAATCGTATGATGCACATGTTACGAAGAGTATCTCCCTTTGTCTGCTAGAAAGAAAGCGACAGATATCAATGGGAAAGGAAGGCAGAATACAAAACATTTTTAAAAGATCACCCTCACACTTAATTTTCTGTAGCAATCTTGTTGGTAGAGAGCACTTGTCAAATATCGGCAGCGCCTCAATTTTTTTTTAAATATTTCTCCTGACTGCAGATGATGAAGTATCGCCAGGCAATGTGGCACTGTTGGATACTGTCCTCGCTTTGGAGTGGGTCCAACAGAACATCGAAGGTATACGCTATAAGCTTTACACAAAATGTCTTACTAACGTTCTTGAATTATGAAGCAAGCAACGTTCAAATCATGCCAAGCCCTCGATAATTTGGGTTGAAAATCATGTAGCTCTATCGAAGTCACACAAACTGTTTTTCATGACTACGAGACGTTTGCTTGGTCCGACAGTTTTCGGTGGCAATAAGGAGCGGGTCACGATCTTCGGTGAGAGTGCTGGAGCAGTTCTGGTGGGATTCCTCGTGCTGTCTGAGATGGCAAACGGATTGTTCAGTCAGGCAATAGTAGAGGTAAACAGTCACCACGAAATAATCGAGAAAAAAAATGACACTGCTTAAGTAACCCTCGGGCTACATTAATTTTGCCGCTACGTATTTTGGCACCCTACTTATCGTAAAAGCGTATTAGCATCGGGTCACATGGTGCACTTTTTAGGAATCATCTTCTTGGAATATTAGGGTGTTTTCCTATACCCCCAAATGCTCTTAGTCTTCTTATGAGCCACCATGTTGACTTGGCTAGTTCCTCATTCGTCCATACAGTTAAAACTGCTGGGAAAGTTTATGCCGGCTGCAATAATAGCTCAGCATTGTAAAGTTAGCCGATAGAGTTTAAAGACAGCTATTCTAAAGTTCAGCCTTAATTCTAAGCATAATTATTTTACGTATATGATAACATAACGAGATAATGTCATGACTTATAAAAAAAAAAAAACTCCTCTGGGAATTTATTCTGCCTGAAATGGTACCAATCGGAAGCAAACAATCATTAAAGATGTGTTTTAAAAAGGGTTCCCGCGGGTCTTCTTGACATGCATGCACTGGTAACGGAATCCATTAAAGACCTCCAGAAAGTTTTGCATACGTTTTCTCTGATTTCTCAAACTGTTTGTAGCCACTGAGCTAAAACTTCGACATGTTAGTTGTTATGCATCTTACTTAAGATTATGAATCTGCTGCTTCAAACGAAAACAAATCAAAAAGGCAAATGATCCTTCAACCTTTACAAGGAATCTACAAACTTACCAACTAAATACATTTTTTTTTCTTTTATGTAGAGTGGTGGGTCAATTTCACAAGAGGTCGGGCCATTAACCGAAGAAGGCGACAAGGTGCTTCGCCAGAGGGCCTTCCAGTTGGGCGAGACTGTTGGGTGCAGTAAGTCGGACAGCGCAGCTCTGATTAGCTGTCTGCAAGAAGTTGACGGCAACGGTCTTATTCAGGCTCAATTAGCGGTATAACATCACAAAATGTTGACTTCCTTTGGTTTACTAGTCAAACTGAATCAAATGATAGCTAGCAGAATGTGGAATGTTTTAATAAGTCTGTCCGTGTTGTTCTACACCAGAGGGGATCTTGAACTCACATTGTATTCATGCTGCTGACTGCCAAGATGTTGTCAGACATTTTACGTCTAACAAACCACCCGTCCAAGATACGATTTGTAGAATCAAGATGCCATCCCTATATTTCTCCGACATACCTAACCTCGGGATGCGCCACTGACACTAAACCCTACCTCATACTCCTATTCTTTATCCATTAATCAAGTTACATGTGTTCAGCTCTTCTAGTGCAAAGTTATAAATGTTTCATGCTTTTCAGGTTTATGATCGGATGTATCCCAACGTGGACGGTACTTTCCTGACCATGACCCCGCTCGACGCGTACGCCTCTGGGACCTACAACCACGTGCCGATGCTCATTGGTACGAATGCTGACGAGGGGACGTTGTTCTTCGCGTTCAACCCTCTATTTGTGGAGTACTTGACCGATAAAGAGCCACCCCGTGTCAACAGGACCGTGTTTGATGCGCTCCTTGTGAGCACGTTCAAGATGTTTGGTAAGACCTCATATTATCTGTTTCTATTACTACTATGGGAAAGCGTACCGAGTAATATGGAATTAGGTTCAGTAATGCACCTGGGCTTTTTTATAGCATATTAGGTGATTAGAATTGTATTCGAGTCAGCAAACATCGAGTGCAAATCCGAGTCCAAGTCACCTCTCCTGAGTCCCCTTTCCCGTGTCCGAGTCCATGCAGGTCGAGTCCGAGTCATGAGTCATATTTTGAGGTCCTGCTAAAACCTCACAGTGTAAATGTTTCCATTATTTTCAAAGCTTTCTCTGGAAATACGTGTATAACATGTCAAATAAGGCAAGGCACCAGTGTTTGGAAAGGATAATCTGGTACTGAACACTATCAAGCTTGCATTTACACAATATCAAAGTGTGGACGCTGGGATACATGTTTTGATACATTCAATTTGATTTCCGAAATCAATCGGAAACAAGCCAGCTGCATGCACTGTGTATGTACAGTACTTAGATGCGTTTCTTCTGCACCGCACATACTGTATGGCTTGCTCATGAGAGGATTAAAAATAATTTGTAATTATATTATTGAAAACAATCAGTGATATGTGGTAATTTTCGTCTAGTCCCGAGTCGCGCAGGTCGAGTCCGAGTCCAAGTCCGAGTCCGCAGGGTCAAGTCCGAGTTCCAGTCATTTGTCATTGTGACTCGAGACCGAGTCCGAGTCACGGAAAATGGGACTCGAGTCGGACTCGCGTCCCAGTCCGAGTCACGAGTCATACAAGTATGTTACTTAGAGAGGGCAGGGCCAGGGAGTTCAAATCTTCCTCATTTGCAATGTGATCTTTTGTAAGAGATGCCAAGGACTCTTTTAAAACATCTCATTTCCACTGCTTAGATCTTCTTTTGCAGTACTGCTGTCAGGGTCCTCACATGCAGACAGGAAGATGGAGAGGACCAGTGCGTGCAGGAGCTTCAGCTTGGATTTAAGAGCAATGTTCTTATCTCTTTAGATTGGTCTGAGTTTCGTTTGTGCGGCTCATGAAATGATTTCAATCTTTGAGCCTCCTCACTGATGATGGCTCCAAGGTACTTGAACTGTTTCACCGTCTCTAGCTCTTGTCCTCTGACCGTGATCTTCCTCGTGTAGGCGGGCCCTAGGAGTTTAATTTATCGGTACCGATACGGAAGTATATAGCTACCTGCGTTGGACTGGCATCCCTTCCAGGAGGAATAGAAGTACATGCATATAATGCTGAAGTCGTTTCATGTCGAAGCCAATCGTGTAAAGGCCTATTAGTATTTTTAGACCCAGGGAAACAACCTTATTTAAGTAACTGTACAAGTATTTACTATTGTATAATTTTTTTGCTTTTACAGCTCTATATGACAAAGCAGTGTTTGATGCTACCGAAATGAGGTACATTGACTGGTCGCAAGCCGGGTACGAAGACGCCGATTACTTCCGATCAATGGTGGAATTCTCAGGCGACTGGCTCTTCACCTGCAACGTCGACAAACTCGCCCGACTCCACGCCAGGGAGAATCGAGTGTATCGGTACCTGATGACACATGTCCCAACCGTGTCCTACTACAGCTTTCAAGGAGTGACGCCGGGCTGGATCGGAGCGGGCCACGCCGAGGAGCTCACGTTCGTCTTCGGGGCGGCGTTCGTGCCCGGAAACCCTTCGGCTAATCTGACAGACGCCGAGAAAGTGTTTTCCGTCAAATTCATGAAATTGTGGACAAATTTCGCCAAGACCGGGTGAGTATTAAAACAAAGTAGGACGCCCACGTTGGTCCGTTCAAAAGAAAACGAAACCATCCTTAAAACTTTACTACATTGCACTTGATGGTTGTCATAGCAGATAATTGCTCCCCAAAAAAGTACAACAGCTAGGACAAATGTGCGGCCTAGACCTGCGCTAATGATGCGACTTGAAAGCAATTTACCCTGAATGCATTTTTTTGCTATACCTTGTGTTGTTCTATATCTGAAAAATTCTTCGTAATAGCTGATGTCCATTTAGTCAGGATTTAAACATATATACCGCGATCTACACATTTGACGTGTTTCTATGTATCGCTGTTTCGTTTCCGATCAGAAATACAAGCGAGGAGTCAGCGGGTTCCCCGCCGATTTCGGACGAGTACATCTGGCCACTGTTCAGCAGCCCCGATTTGGAGTACAAGGTGCTAGACCTGAACCTGACAACGAGCCGAGCTCTCAAAAGTGACCAATGCTACTTCTGGAACAACTACGTGGAGCAGCTTAGGACATTGTTAGGTAAGAACATATCTCAGTTTCTTCCAGCAAAAACTGTAGCAAAGGCTCCAGTGTGACACATGAGGTTGGTAATTGTGGTGTTTTGATTTTATTCTTACTGTCAGGTGATCTGGATGAGGTAGAGCGTGACTGGCGACAATCCTTCGAGACCTGGAAGAACACCGACATAGCGGATTGGAGAGAAGAATTCAATAAATACAAAGCAACTACTGATAACAATTAAACCCGTATCGATCCGGCAAGCTCTAGAACCTCTCCCTGTGACGTCATTCCCCGCGTTTTCTGGCAGGCAAAACAGCCACCAAAACATTTGTTTTATGTGATTATCACATGCATGGTGTATACGGTAAAATGTCAATACTTTTCAGCCATCACCCGTAGATCAAGCGATACACAGGCGCGGTAATAGAAGACTTTGCGGAAAGTTGGCATCACTGTGCACAACAGAATTTTGACATGGTGTGGTTTTTATTCCCAAAGTTTATGTAAAATCACCACTAGGGAAAAATGCCAACATACGCGCTGTAGTTGCGGTAATATCACTTTTGAAGCATTGAACCTTTTCTCGATCGTTGATTATAGTACGGACTTATTGGTAGTATTGCGCATGCCTTAGCGAAGATAATTTGGAGGTGACCGGTCACGTGAGAGGGTGTCATCATCACTGTGCACAACAGAATTTTGACATGGTGTGGTTTTTATTCCCAAAGTCTATGTAAAATCACCACTAGGGAAGAATGCCAACATACGCGCTGTAGTTGCGGTAATATCACTTTTGAAGCATTGAACCTTTTCTCGATCGTTGATTATAGTACGGACTTATTGGTAGTATTGCGCATGCCTTAGCGAAGATAATTTGGAGGTGACCGGTCACGTGAGAGGGTTTAACCAATTAAAGGGTAAATGAGTCCGATTTTCATAGGAGTCTAATTTTCATAATGGCATCGACACCCAAGATTTGAATATGACGTCAAAGTTGACGTCTCCAAACTTATGCCCAGTCTTGAATTATTAAAAGCACCTTTTTTAGATGTAAGACTTGAAAACTGTTTTGGTGTTTTTAAACAGATAATTATCAAAAGTTCAAAAGTCTTTGTGTTATAAGATTAATATTCTCAGGTTATTCATTGTGATTAGGCCAGAATTACTTTCATCAATTCCGTGGACATGTGATGGGACTTGGCTTCTTTTATTTTGTATTATTAGCATTTTGGGGGCTTCAATAAGTGAACAATTTTGATAACTTTCTATTTGGTAATTATTTGCAATAACATTTCTAGTGCGACCATGTTAACAACTTTTCATTTGGAACTTACTCAACTTGGAGCAGCGATCAGACTTATTTGTGTTCGATGTTTGCTTTGTTTAAAGGAATATACATCATTTGCTTTTGCTGTAATTTTAAGAAATGGATGGAATTGGGGGTTTGAAAATATATAGCAAATATAGTTACACTGACTTTTTTGAGATTTTGGGTTCGAAAATGCTATAAAAACCAAGTAAAACAATCATTTTCCTGTAGTCTGGTTCCCTGACTCCATATAAGAAGAAACACAGCAGTTTACATACATTGGGGAATTGTAAGGTCAGGGAACCAGTCTAGCTGGCTTGTACCCGTTCATAGGTGTGTAATCGATTGCAAACAAGTGCGATGGTCAATTGGGGCCAGTATTTGAAAAAAAAGCCAGTTTTTTTCCAACGCTGGTCGGCCGACCAGCATTGAAAATTGATACAAAAATACCACTTTTCTTGAAAATGACAGTATACCAGGTGCCATGATTTTACAGGATGCTTTACACTGTCATTCACTAACAGTCCAGCAAGGTACATGTATTTCAAAATGATTTGGTAGTTTTATTTTTTGATGTTTGCAAATGTTGTATTTTCCCTTTAACATGTTGGCGAAATACGAGGATTTTCCTCACCGTAAACATGTGCTCTGCTAGAAATGCGCTAGATTTGTTTCTACTATAGTTGCCACATGTTTAATGAAATTTCCAATAACATGGTAGATCTAGCTGGCTGCTAAAATGACGAGGAAATCGAGTACGTTTAGCAGAACACATTAAATCTCTATGCCTTTATATTAATATATATTTTTTTAAGTATGCGACATTTGATTTGTTAGTTTTTGGAGAAATAAAAAAAAAAAATTCTGATAACGATGATTATATTTTGATACGTTAATAAAGCTGAGATTGAATGACATTGTATGTTGAAGATGAAAAAAAAAAACTTTGGAGAATCCGGGTATCGATCCCGGTACCTCTCACATGCTAAGCGAGCGCTCTACCACTTGAGCTAATCCCCCACCTTGAAATCGTTGAGTTAATAATTGTACATAAAGGTTGCATTCGTTGCGTAGACTTTTCTCGAGGGTACTTGTTTTTTTAATGTTGTAAATTGCGTATATTTGGGAATAATAGCATACAAAATTCTATTCGACTATGCAAAAAAAGGTAGGTTTACATTCGTTCATCTAAACGCTTTCAGGTGTTTGCGTTTTTGTTTTTAATATTCTTCCGTTGCGGTATTAACGTCAGTGTTGTAAGACTAGTTTAAGCATGTGACTTATTGACCAGTTGGTGGCGCTATGCTTGAATGTCTGCAGTGCAGTGCCGCAGCTGGTGAAATGACGAGTTTCTCTGCGAATGTCTGCATTTTCGCTGCATTTCTGTCAAATATTTTTTCAAAAGAAGTGTTGAAGTGGATACTTAGCATATTCCTCACTTTTTGTGGGTTGTTGCAATTGTCTTACTTGATGGCGACTTCAGATAAACCCGAGAGCAGAACAGCAGGTGAGGTGAACTGAATTTGCCACCCTGTACGGTGCGGTGAATGCCGGGCACATTTTTCAATTTTGCAAGGCCTTTAACCCCTTTATTTAATTTTATGTGGAAGATTCCCATATCTAGCCTTCACTTGTGCTAGTGTGAGACTGGTCTGAAAATTTCCTAGTGTTTTCTCAGTAAATACTTCAATATTTGCCCTGCTAAATTTGACTTTTTAGGACATAGGCCTATTAATTTCTGAGGAAAAAATTCCGTACTTTTTTTCAATTAATTTTCAAGTGCCAAAAGTTGTATCCTTTATGGTTATTCCCTCCACTTCCCTCCTCTACTCTCACCTTCTCCTTTCCTTATTCCTATTTATTAATCAGTCACTTACTTCATCGAGATTCGAACCTCAGACTCTAGCTTGAAACACGAGACTCTTAACCGCTACTCCTAGAACTATGAGGCTCCACGTAGTAGAGGGGAGCCTCATAAGTCATAGTTCTAGGAGTACTTAACCGCTAGGCCGCGCACGATTGCTGTTGCAATAATAAATCTTTGGACGTATTTGAAGTAGCCATTGAAATAAACTAAATATTCATGAGAAAATAAATATTCATAATGACGTATTGCACTATCATTGGCCGGCTCATGCGACGTCATGGTTGTCGATGTCATGCGATGACATGCGTCATGCGTACCGCTGTCTGTCAGCCACTTCAATCAGTTTTGACCGGCTGCTTCAACTTAGTTCTGCACGACGTGTGCATCCAAAAGGGGCTCTAAAAACACATTTTGCCTAATTTTTTTTCGCATTAACACAGCTTCCTGAATTCCTCTTGGGTGAAATCACAAGGTGAGGTGAAAATTGATGTGTTTAGCGGCAGGTAAAGTTGTGTCCCAGTATGGAATTTTTCCCATTTCGGATAGTGGTAGTGACTGAGTGATAGGTCATTGAGTCTGAAGTCATGGAGCTGAAGCGAAGGGAAAAATGGAAAAAATGTTGCAACCCGACACCACTTTTCTCTTCATATTGTACGGATATATCATATACATGTAGGGTAAATATTGTACGGTTATATCATCTATACATGTAGGGTAAGTAGCGGGTATTTAATTTGACTGGATGAGAATTGGACCGCCCGTTACTCTTATTGCTCAATAAAATGCGTCCCAGGTAGCATGTTGTCATAAGAAACCGTACACATGATTAGGTTCCTGCCCTCGCTTGTCCAAATTTTCGGACTAGCATTGGTAATAAACTGTGCATTACCTTTAACTTTAAGTTGATACCATATTTGAGTTGGTGAGGATTGCAGTTTTGAAGATTTCATAAAGTTTCCATTTTTCAGCCGTGTCCACATCCTCGTGGAATTGCTCATATGAGTTTACATTTTTGTGTTTTTTGCAGGTCATGTGATGCTGATGGACCAATCAGGGTTTGCCTATGGCGGAATCCTCAACGAGTTGTCTCCAACTATGAACATTAATGACTCCGGCGTTGCCCAAGTGATCAAGGTATGATATTACAAGTACTGGTAACTGTGAATCAAACTTTCAGGCCTCAAAACATCCACTGCACCACTGAACTACATCCAAGTGTTTTCTGTGACTGAACCAGACCAGCACTCCAGTGGCTTACCAAACCACCCTACTCATAAAAATATTAACAAACCACGTCCAACTTGTGAACGTGTCATGTTCATCCAGATTAAACTGTTTTATTCCCCTGCATTTACAACTGATGTACAACTGACTACAGTGAACTAGAACTTTCTTTTTTACTTCAAGTACATGTACCCGTACTTGACTGTAAGCTTTTGAAAAACATTTGTATACCCCTGTTACTTTTAACTGCAAGGGTTGTTTATCTTGGTTTCACTATGGTGGATCAAAGGAGGTGGTTTAGGTGGCACCCCCCCCCCCCCCCCCCCGCCCACACACCCCGCCCTGTTAAGAAAAACCAAAATGGTCTCCTTAAAGACTTTACAGCTACTAACCCTGTTGTCTAGAAGATTGTTATGCGTAATCTGACTTTATGCAGACCTTTTTACATTTCCTGAAGTTTGTAGCAGATGGGCAAACAAAAAATGTTGTCCGTTGATGCATTTATGTCAATAACCATAACCGTCCCAGGAATCAGGACTTTGCTGAATCATTCGAAATGTTCCACTCTGTAGTAAACTTGTTGTTTGTCTTTTTTTACGTGAAACTTGCAAAAGACATCAACCCCCATGAAATTACTGGTAGCAATGGCTGGGCTGTATCGATGCATTTCTCAGTTCTACAGCATAACATCCTCTGAAACATGGTGGGTTGTGAAAGATTAACCCTAACCACCCCCAACCCTTCAAAATCCAACTGCATGCCTTGATTGATTCTGTTGAAGTGAGGACTGCACTAGTAAACTGATTACGCTTTACATGGGGTCAGGCATACCACATTAATCAGAGCCCAACAGTGGAAGTTGAGTTGCAATATGGTGTTGGATTTTGCAAGAGTGAGGCAAGGATCCTAGTATCACTCAACGGGGTTAGGGTTAATTTTTAGGGCATAAAAAAACACCATTGAATTCCAGCACATTGCTTGGATTGGAAGGATTTGTGCAAGGTTCCAAGTGCAAAATTCCACGGGAGTTGTGATTCATGTGATTTTGTCGTGATTTTGCCTTATTTTTATCCAGTTTGCAATACAGCACGCCGAAAGGAACCACCCTGATACAGTCCCACAGAATGCAGAAGGAAAAGCTCTGGAGCCGTCAGTGTCTGATCTCAAAAAGTTGGTTAGTTGTAAATATTCGCAATATCAAAGAAAGCATCTTATATCCAATTATTATATTTAACAGAAAATTTGGAATGTTAGAAATCATTTTAATGAATTCTGCTCCAAACTAAATGGATGACCAGCATACCATTTTTGGCATAAGAGTGTCATAGGTAAAGTTGGTTCTGTTTTGTTTTGCAGGCTTGAAGAAGTTCATTGTTTTTCTCTTTATAAGTACTGCGAAAGAACATGTTTTAATGCTCATTGAATTATAACAGTACTTCTTAAGTTAAATAATAGGCAGCAGTTTGTGAAAATGCACTTCATAATCAGTTGGACTGTCTTAACATCATTCAGAAGGCAGTTCGGAGTTTAAAGGGTTCATGCAATGATTTTTTCTTAGGAACACATTTTGTACAACTTTGTATGAAAACTATTTGACATCCCTTTTTTGTTAATTTTATTGGAAAGTGCACTTCTTTAAACATTTAAAAATTGTCCATGCTTTTCCATACAACTGAGGGTGCTGTTGCTGTGATGTCATTTCAGGGAGAAACTGTTCAGTTTTGGGGTTTTCTGTTGAAGTTCTGAACCCAAAAATTTGCTCATTGAAAACATTTGTGAGAAAGGGGTTGCACATTGGCTGACTGCCATGTACTGACACAACAACGAATCACCAAAGAAATTCATGACAGCAAAATATCCAACATTCTGGCATCTTTCTTGTGCTGAAATAGCTTTAACATTGACGTTTCAGCCCTGAATGACATCACAGTTTTGCTCATGAATATGGAAATTTCCATTAGCATAAACACCAAAAGACACCTCAATACCCTTTTAAATGGCAACATGAAAATTGAAACTAACTTTGACTGGGACACTAAGGTGCATTTTCAAGAATTGCATGAAAAAAAACCTAATTCATGCAGATATTTTCAGATTGTAAAGCACCACCTTGTGCTGTGCTCAAAATGATTGATTCTTCAGTTGTTTTTGCTTTACACTGGTTGGTTTTGCATCTTTTCTGTATAGAAACTCCAAGCCACCAAAGATGGTAAGACCCAGCATAGTTTGATAGAGAGCACATTCGTCGATGCCACCAAACAGCAGTTTCAACGCAGGAGAGTCATCTACGGCATAACCTATTCATTCTGTCTGACATGGACCGGTGTTGCAAACCCACACCGGCACACTTTTGTGGTTTCGTTAGACAGACAGAGAAACATGTACGTGTTTGAACACACTTTTGTCCGGGAGGGCCACCCTGCGTCAAGAAGTAACTCGGACCAATCCGCTATAGCAACCGATGAGCCGACGACCAGCAGCCAATCAGAATGCATACAAGGTGGTGATATCATAGCCCCTGACCAATCAGAGTGCGAGTCACGCACCGGGAGCATTTGGAGTAACAAAAGGAAAACAGAGGCCGGGGAAAGTACAGACGTCAATCGGCCTGGCGAGACAGACACGAAGAAGGCAAAACTCGGGGAGCATTTTAGCATTGTCACCCAAAATATATGGAATTTCAACGGAATATCTCCAGGCGGTACTTCCGCGGACAAGAACGAGGCCTACATTCAGAGGGTGGCTCATTTAGGAGATCTGATAGCAAACACTAAGGCCGACATCATCGGGTTTCAAGAAGTCAGATTTGACGTGAATGGGGGCGGCCACCTTGGACCGTGCCAAGTGCAACAACTAGCCAACCACTTGCCACAGTACCAGGTAAGTTGTTTCTGACAATCTGGTGTTGAATGATCAGTGGGCACTGTGTAGAGACTGTGAGATTGGCCTGGAGTGGCCAACTCTTGTCAGTCCACAAAGAATGCACCATGCTAATGCACTGCTAAATGCAACAGACTGCTTTGTTGCAATTAGCAGGGTAACTGTTCATAGTGCCAAGGCTAGTACAACAGAGTATGCTGTTGCATTTTGTTACAGTTAGCACAGCACTTTTTCATTTTGTTGCAATATGCAGGGTAACTGTTCACAGTGCCAATTCAAGGCCAGTACAACAGAGTACACTGCTAAATGCAACAGACTGCTTTGTTGCAATTAGCAGGGTAACTGTTCATAGTGCAAAGGCTAGTACAACAGATTATGCTGTTGCATTTTGTTGCAGTTAGCACAGCACTTTTTCATTTTGTTGCAATATGCAGGGTAACTGTTCACAGTGCCAATTCAAGGCCAGTACAATAGAGTACACTGTTTACATTTTGTTGCAGTTAGCAGAGTACTTTTTCATTCTGTTGCAATTAGCAGGGTAACTGTTCATAGTGCCAAGGCTATTACAGCAGAGTACGCTGTTGCATTTTGTTGCAGTTAGCAGGGCACTTTTTCATTTTGTTGCAAATTGCATGGTAACTGTTCACAGTGCCAAGGCTAGTACAACAGAGTACACTGTTGCATTTTGTTGCAGTTAGCAGGGTACTTTTTCATTTTGTTGCAAGTTGCAGGGTAACTGTTCACAGTGCAAAGGCTAGTACAACAGAGTACACTGTTGCATTTGCAGTTAGCAGGGTACTTTTTTAATTGTGTTGCAATTTGCATGGTAACTGTTCACAGTGCCAAGGCTAGTACAACAGAGTAAACTGTTGCATTTTGTCGCAGTTAGCAGGGTTCTGTTCTGTTTCATTGCAACAAGGCTTCACCTCGCCCGCTACGCAGGGGGAGGCAGCTTCCCCGCCTGTCAATCGCTTCGCAGTTCAGAGGCAGCTTTCCCTTTTATCACATGCTTTGCGGTCAAGCGGCAGCAAAAAAAGAAATTGTAACTGTCTACATTAATGCGAGAAATAAAAGAGACTGAGCTGTTGCAGAAGTTCTCAGTTGCGAGCGCGCAGGCAGGTTCCACACACTTGCGCAACACAGTGTATGCATCTTTGCAGTCAAGGGCAAAACCCAATATTGAATTAACATCACCCCGATGCAAATTCCATCTTATGTACAGTCTGGACCAATAAAATTACAGGATCCAAGCACACCATACAACAAATAGAGTTAACACATGATAGAAAGCATTCTAGGGAGGAGTTTATCACATCACAATCAATATCAGAGAACTTTTTAATCTGAGCAATTTTTAATCACTTTAAAGTGACATGTACATGCAAGGCATTAATGATTTACAATGTATGGGTGCTTCAAACTGTAAGTTAGGCTAAAAAAACAAATAGTTCTGATTCTGGTTACCCTACCTACCCTATTTTGACATCCCCTACCCTAATTTTGTTTGGGGGGGGGAAATGAGGGATAAAACCAAAAACCATCAATTACTACAAATTACCCTTGACTACACACAGATACCTCATATGACCATACAAAAAAAAAATTGCCAACAAAAGAAATTCCCCACCTACATACCCTATTTTCAAATGGCATGTAATCGGAAGCAGAACTATTTGGGGGGGGGGGGCCTTACATGTACATGTATGAATGGATTATAGAGGGGTGTTTCAGCCAGTTTAACTCAGTTCTTCTCTGAATTCCCAGTTTGTGTACCAGCCAGCCGTCAACTACGTTCCAGACAGCTTCGACAGAGCTGAAGAAGGCCTGGCTATCTTTTCCTTGCATCCCATCCTGTCACATGACTTCATACTCCTCAGTAGGTAAATAAAAAAAAAATGAATGAATAAATGAATAAAAAAATAAGTAACATTGTACATGTACATATGTGCACCTTCTTTTTTGTTTGGTTACTTTTTTATACAACATTTTACAAAGATCAAAAAACAAAACTACCAAATTATTATAAAGCACCTTAAGTACTTGACTACATGTGCATGAAATTTGTAAGTGAATGACAGTCTCAAGCATTCTTTAAAATAATGGCACTTGGTGTGCTGTCATTTCTCCTCATTGTCTCCTCTCTACAGGTTTCGTCAGGCTTTTGGGCTACAGTGCCTAGGGCACTTTCGAGGAATCCTTGGTTCATTACCAGAAATAAATAAAATAAAATATGTAGATAAAAAGTTTAAAAAGCAGAATTTTTGTATGGTCTTTTTTTCTTAAGTACTGCCCCCAATATGCACTGTTACACTGACAGAATTATTTAAAGTTTTGTGCTCATGGATGCTGGAGAAACCAAGAAAAAAATGTCGTTTTTGAAGTCTGGTTTCCTGACCCCATATACATAACAGAGCAATTTATAGATGTCAGGGAATTGTCAGGTCAGGGAACCAGACTAGCTGGCTTGCACCCCTTCACTGAAGTGTAAAGTTTGCAATCAAAATGTTGAGTAACTAAATTTGGTAAGTTTGGGGCAGTATTTATAAAACAAAGTCAGTTTTTTTCCCAGTGATGATTAACTAGACATGACTGAAGGGAATAATAAAAACAAGTAGGCCCCCTATCGTATTTTATGCTTGTTACACACATTTTTGTGGTGGTTTTGTTGTTTATGTCAGAGATATGAACGATGATGATGACAAGCAACACCAACGAGTCTGCCTACATGCTGAAATCGAAACGCCCTCTAATGGCAGAGTAAGTACCAACACCCATACCACATACGTGTCATACACGCGGACGGTCTAGCCAGACGGAATTGTGGGGTGATAGCATTGTGTTCCCATTATCCCTTTTTCTAAAGATTCTCTTCTGGGGTGATGTTTTTCTATTGTGAAAATAGTGGGGTGATGTGTCCTGAAAGGAACATCACCCCACAAGGGGAGTATGGTCAGAACGGCTTTGCAGTTGGGCTACATACAAAATGATGTTATTTGGAAAGAGCATTTAAAAATAGGACATAAACGTCCACACAGCTACAGTATCCTTTCAAAATGGCTGTTTTTATGTTATTCTTGTGAGAACTAATTTCGGGGGTCAAAATTGTGACTCTCAAAAATCGAGCTGTTTGGGCGCCAGACATGAATCCTACTGAGTACAGCCTGTCTCAAACAAACTCGATTTTTGTGTTCTGCAGTAAGCAAATGAGATGAGCAAAAAGTATTGGAAAGCCTGGTCTTTTTTCTTTAATGTGATGCTCAAAAGGCCTTACTTACTTTAATATTGAAAAAAAAAATTGTTTTCGATTGTACCATTTTTTTTGAGACAGGCTGTATATTCCACCAGTGCATTGCTTTCTGCAGATGTACGCTGGTTAACAAACATTGATTGACATCCCTTGGCGATGTCAGTGGATGATTAATGCGTACATTATGAGACTGCGTTTTCATTATTACTGATTATTGATCAAGACTTCTTGTAATGGAATTATAATGAAGAACCTCCATCTCATGGCTAAATAACAACCCCACCTCCCCCTCCCAGACTCGTTTGTCACGGTTTTTAATATTGGTCTCGGTGCTTATGTGTAGTTTCCTCTTTAAATGACCAGCTTTTCCCATTAACCTGCCAGTATTAATGAGAAGTTGATGATGTCTTGATTGATTGCTTTGTACACCGCCCGCGATATTCGTTGCCGAGTTTTCTACTTACGGGCTGTGTTAGTGTTAAATGGGCACTACACATGTAGCTGTGTCCCCTTTTTAGTTAGAAGAAAAAGAAAAAGTAGCATCTTTGGCTGCCAAGAATACCTCCAAGATACATGTAGATAATCCTTAAAGAGGTTGTGGAATGCTGGAAGACATTTCTGTCATTTTTGGGGTATATGTAGCCTAAGGTGTGATGAAATAAAAACGACTATTGTTTCTGTCATGAAATGAGTACAAAGGGTACTTTTGAGAGCTATTTTTCAGGTCCTGTTTCGACCCAAACGTGCAATTTGTGTAAAGTCGTCGTTGCGGGCAGCAAACAAAACACAGTAAATCGTGACGTAATAAACAGGACTCGTTTATGCTACTCTGCATCAGGAGTCCTGTTTATTACGTCACGATTTACTGTGTTTTGTTTGCTGCCCGCAACGACGACTTTTACACTAATTGCACGTTCGGGTCGAAACAGGCATGACAGGACTTGAAAAACAGCTCTCAAAAGTACCTTTTGTATTCATTTTATGACAGAAACAATAGTCGTTTTTATTTTATCACACCCTAGGCTACATATATCCGAAAAATGACGGAAATGTCTTCGAGCATTCCACAACCTCTTTAAACATGCACACACACTAACCTAAACATGACGTAAACAATTGAAAAGGACCAGTGGGTTTGCTGCCACCGAGCGTCTCAACCGTCTCCGTTAAAACTCAAATTCTAAATAATAATTAAAACCATACGCAGAAGAATACTCTATGCAGTACATTTACAGTGCTTAATTCGAATATGTTTTTGAGGGAGTGCAATTTTCATAACATTAACCCTTACCCTACTTGACCCTCCAATGCATGCCAATTGTGCCTCAAGAAAATCTCCTATGTTTTTTGCATGGCCCTCCAATATCTGCCATGTCATTTCAAGGGTAACTGGACAGGCACTCCAATACATGCCACAGAGAACAATGAGAGTCCTCTGATAACAAAGTGAGTGCCCCCAGCTGGTCAGTATCAGGCACCCTCCAGGGCCTCCAACTCCTGCCAATTGGAGCCTTCACTGTTAAGACTTGTTATCTGCCAAATAACTGCAGCTGGAGGGCATTGGCATAACCAACTGACATGCAGTAAACTACCCTCAGAGAGTAAGGGTTAAAGTCTATGTACATATTCTGATAGTTCGCTGGAGTGAGTCCAAATGACAATCATTCTTACATGGTCTACTGTAAAGCTGATAACCCAACTTTTCTGACATACAATAGATCAGTCCTTTGTAAATGAACCACCTAAAAGCCTGTTTCATCTTCCAATTGTTCATCAAATTGGATCATTTCTTACAGAGTCTCCTGTAGATTCTGTAAAGCACTTGGCGGTGTTCATACTGCATGTAGGCCAGACACAAAGTTCCCAAGAACATTTGGAGGGCTATCGCAATTTGAAAGGTGACAAACAGAAGATTGTAGAGCACATATTTTTTTGGGTCCTTGCTAAAATTTGCAATGTGCAAGATAACAAATTGGGCAACTAAAAACGCTGTCAAGGTGCAGAAGTGTACCAGGAAATAGTGAGTCCTTTTGTGTTGTGGTCGAGGCCCGTTGTCTGTGGAGGGCAATGGCTTTCTGTTTGGACGATGCGGCTCTGGTTGTTCTTGGTCATTTGGCCTGGCCAGCTGCTGCTGCTGTCGTTGCAGTTGTTCTTCTTTTCGCTGAGGATGCGTTTGCCATTGCTCTTCTTGCTTATCTAGCTGTTGATTGTCTTGCCATTCCATTCGCTGTTGACGCTGCTGCTGTTGGTCTTCCTGTTTTGGTAGCTGCTGTTGCTGCTTCTGAGCCCGTTGTTGCTGTTGAGGTTGCAGCTGTCCTTTCTGAACGTCATTGTCACTGCATGTGGCGTGATGAAGGTTTGCCTGGGCTGAATCGTTGTTGACAGACACAATTTCTCCCTTGCTACTGTCAGGACTGCTGCTTTGCTTGGCACCATACTGATGCGTTTGTTGTTGCTGCTGCTGTTGCTGCTGCTGGTTGCTGGGAATTTTCCTTAAATGCACCGTCATCTTCCTGAAGTCATGAATTTTCCGCTGGTGCTGCCTTACAATGTGCAGCAATGCGGCTATCAAAATGATGATTGCTACAATTGTGGGAATGGCAACAACATCCATGAAAATGACCACGAGGAATTGAAATTTTTTTAATGCCACGGGCTGATCTTCCAAGACCAGTGTCTGCTGTGGGAAGGTCACTTTCAAGAAGAGAAACTCGAGGGCACCAATAATAAGAGATAGAATCCAGCTGACGATGATGATGCTGGCGCACTGCTTTCCCGTCACCAGACGGATGTAGCGCATCGGACGAGAGACCTTGAAGTACCGATCGGCCAGGATGATGACTGAGCTGAAACAGTAGGCAGAATATATTGCCTGGCTTGCAGAGTAGAGGACAAAGGTTGTGTTGGCGTCGTACAGATGCATGTGAGCATGGTGAGTTAAGTTGTAACTTCCCGCAATCAGGTTAGCCGCAGCCATGAGCATCTCTGAGGCACACAGGTTGCCTAGGAAGTAGTTTGAAAAGCTGTGCAGTCTGCGGTTAAGTGCAACGGAAAAGACGATAAATAAATATATTGGGAAGGTCACCGAGCCGAGAGTGACATTGGCTATTTGTGACGAGAAGAGAATCTGGTTCAGTGTGTCAGCAGAGGTGTTGTTGGTATTCATGGTTATTCTCTGGCTGTTTCTTAGGTGGACCTTCAAAAAAAAATGCAAAGGAATATCTAATGTTTGCAGCACAGTTTTGCTGGCAGTAGAACCCTGCACAACCTGAACCAGTCCACTTTCTATGGCTTGTCTGTCAGGGTTTTTTTAGTTGAAGATGCCACAAGTCAGTTTTCTTCAAGTACTCAACTCCCGTGTTTTGGGTGCAGCTGCTGGCCATCCACGTTCAAGCACTCTGTCCAGGAGTTGTTCACAAGCCTTGCTTTTTTAACCACCTCTTCATCAGCTTGATGTCACTGGAAATGCGGTGCTGTTGTTTAAGTGGCAGAGTGATCCACCAATCGGTGGTAGTTTTGGATCATTTTGAAAACCCTTGACATTTGTTGCTGTACATGTACACGGCATTCTGTCCAAAGATGATTACAACAGTCAACTTTGTAAGCTGAGTCCATATTACTCTGCCGCTGTCTTTGTGTTTCTTAATTGCATCCATGACAAGTCACAGAACTCATATTGCTTTCATTAATCAAGTTTTTAGTCTCTGTCAGGGTTATTTGCTGTACACTCTAAAGCCCCAGCAGCCAATTTCACGAAACCTGAGGTGATGGCACAACTCCGCTTGCGCAACAATTTATTGCGTATTAAAGCTGCACAACTTTCACGCTGCGCAACACGTCACTTATGACACATTTCACAAAAGTCTGATATTGCATAAGTCCATGACTTGCACAATATGTTATGGCATAACTTGCGCAATCATTTTAGGTGGCGTACTGGGTAAGTTGTGGCGTAGCGACTCAAAATGACCTATTTTACCCGCAAATCGAGATCATCATAGAACCTGTTATTGCACAACTTATCAAGGTTGATAAAGACCGCTTTGTGTTTGAAGTCAATGAATTTCTTCATTATTTTACTAGTGGCAGAATTTTTTAGAGTGGTGGCATGAATCCGAAGAAAGTTTGACATACCGGTAATAAGGAATGGGCGTGCGCAAGTGTTGACATGACGCAGACACGCACGCAGTTGCTTGGTTCAGTGCGTGACATTGCATACATGTAGCTGTAATCTTCTGAATGAGAACGTGTCCCAGATGCTGATTTCAGGCGCAATTCAAAACATGACTCTGCAACTTTTGAATAAAAATTGAGATCCTAGAATATTGTTTTCTCGGAATATACAGCATTCACTGGGCTAAAACTTCATCAGGTTAGTTGTTAAGCGCCCTTCTTTACATTTTGAGCACTTTTGTTGCTTCAAACGAAACAAATGCACAAATGACAAATGATACACTGTTTTTGGAGGGGATGCAATTTTCATAAGATTAAATATTATCTTTTGTACAAC